AGTCTGGAACAGAGAAAGCAGATGCTACTCCTGCCAGAGGAATGCACTCTGATGAGAGGGTGGTGTGAGGACGCCCTTGAACTTTGGCAGGCCTGAAGTGATACTGAAGTCTTTGCTGCAATTTCCCTTCTGTGCACTGCGGCAAACGCGTTGCTGTGGTAGCCTAAAGGAGAGCTACCAGCTGTGATACCAGCCATAACCTACATTTGTTCAACATGGTTTAAGGAGAGTTTCACCATACAAAATTAGCAAGTTTGCGGTGGGACCAGAACTCACCAGCGGGTGCTTTCTCTCCTTGTAGTGCTGCAGCACCACCAGCTTGGTCTTGTTCGCCACCTTGGCCTTCGGTATAGTCGCACAGATGCACACCACCGCCGGCTTCTGGCACTGCTTGCAGAAAGGCCGCTTCGCAGACGCCCCCAGTGCGGGCTCGACAACCCCTTCTGCTGCCGAGCACTGCTGACTGCTTAGCAGCGCCTCCTCTGTTCCTCCATTTATGTCCGCAATGCTCTCACTGGCGGATGCCCTATGCTCATTCACTTTGGAATGGACCCCTCCCTCGCCCTGGGTTTGATTGAACACACCGATCCCAGGATACGGTGCATTGGTTTCAAGGACCGAACTACCACCGCAAGTGCTTTCACTTATGGTCGTGTCCTTCATGTTGGGAACACAAGGACGGCTCCCTGAAAGTGGAGCTTCACCAAAGCTTGCCCCATTACACTGGCCGTTCTTTTCATGAAACTCTTCTATTGAGTCCACTCCTGTGACGGACTCCGATGGCATCTCTGCGGCCAGAGCGCCCCCCTTTTGTTCACTTGCCAATGCCAAGACGTTCCTTTTGCTGAAGCCTGCAGGCAGGCAGCTGATGAAGCGACTCTTCCAAATTACATGCTCGCCACCAGCAGGAGAGCGCCTGGAAGAAACTTTCTTGATGTTAGTGGATGGTCCGCCACTCTGCTGATCGCCACTACTTGCCAGAAAGTCTCGTGTGAGAAACCCGGCAACACTTCCGCCCACACTGCCCCTTACTCGAGCTGCCACCACCGCCCTACTTGGGGTTGCCGTGCACCGGCTTGAGGTGAGCATGGAGAACGAAGCACGCACAGAAAGTGTGGGTGCGCTTGGCCACAGGAGGCCCAGCATCTGCACTACGGTATCCTAGAACTTGAAGCTTGGAACTTGAAGCAGAGGTTTGCAGAACTGCTCTCAGACACCTCAACTTCTGAGCAGCTCAAAAAAACATTGTCAAATTTTGTAGATTTAAATGATATATCCGGATGAAAAGGCAGCTGACGTCGTTAGCATGTCCGCACCACTGGTTTTGAATAGTTATGGACACCGACCGACTTGAGCGTGCAGTAAAACCGGCATCAGGAACGGCAGTCATAGGCGGTGAAAAGCATTCCGAAAATACTTCTGATTTCAGGACAGGAGCATTTCACCTTGAAGTTGATGGCAGCGAAGCCAAATTAGGGGGCAGCATTGCAACCAACCATTGGTGCGCCATCAACAGGCCGAGCTTCAGAAGCAGCTAGTCAAGTTACAGGGGTGGAACAGGTTGCAAAAAAGAGGGGCTCCTTCGATTTCTCCTGCCACAATTGCAGCATCTAAGCAGACAGACCGCAGAGAGTCCTGAGCTCATTGTTGGCACTTGGCTGGCCATGGATGATTATGAGGGAGAGGGGTTGTTTGATGATGAAGAAGGAAACGAGAATGAAGGTTTCGAGGTAAGTTCGGTGCACAACTGTGCCTGTTGAATTACTGTGTTTTCTCTGTTATCTTCCATGACCAATTCTCTTTTCTGTCTCTATTTCTTAGGAGGAGGATGGGGTGGTGATGCAGCTAGAGTGTCGATCAGGCTGGGCACCCGCTTTGCGAGCTACCATACTTACGGTTGCTGACAGACGTGGCATAGCAATATTGACCCTGCATGTAATTTCTTCCAGAACTATAGCTATAGCTCATTCTGCAGTTCCTGCACACCCTTTACTGAGCAAGCCTGATGAGAAGCTACTGTCTTTCCCACTTCCCAGCTCACCTCAGGGGGAAAGGAGAGGGTCATCTACTTGGTCGATTGTCATCCGCACATGTTCCTTCGAACCAATGACGAGGAGGTAAGATTCTCACATTCACAATCTTGTCATGGTCCTTCCTGAAAGAATCCTGATTGATGAATCCTAGATCAGTGGTGCCTTGATCATACCACAACATTGTTTGGCTTGTAATGCATTCGAGCTTTCTAATAGCCACTGTGATCATAGGCCCCAATTAGCAGGTATGTAGACATTGGACAGGATCGACGTTGGTTCATGCAGGAGGATGCGAAGACTTTCTTTGACGCGGCGATGGAGGCCATTGCGTCAGACTTGAAGAACAAGATCATTAGTCAGGCCAGTGACGAAACGGGACTCTGCTTCTTCAACACGGTGAGGGGCTGGCCCTCTTTTTTCCTTTGTGTGCGGGAGACAAGGTGACTTGTGCTCTCTGATTCCCGCCTGGTCTCCTCGCAAGCACAAAGGTGACGTCGGTTTTATTGCAAGCCCCTTTGCATTTGAGATTTGCTGATCCTGGCTGTTCTTGTCCTCATCTACTAATCATTGAAAGAAAACGAATGAATGATCCAGGTACCTGCAATAATGAGAAGGAAGGTCAGGAAGTTCCAATGAGTCAGCTCAACGTATTTTTGAAACTTCAGCATAAGTTACACTCTAGAACTCTTGTGTGCGTTTTCTTAGAAAGCTTTTGAATATCATGCAGCGGGAGAAGAAGAACGTGCATGGCTGGGATGGCATCTACATCTTTCAGGTACGTTTCAGCAAAGCTTGTCAGTGATTGAGTTGCCGTGTAACTTTATGCAATGCTCTCAAATCCACTGTTTTGTTTGCTTTTATTGTCTGGGCCGATGTTCTGTGGCCGAGACTCTGCAAATTGAAATCGCTTTTCCTCTTGATTGATCGACCTCTGATTACAGGATTGATGTTCGTCTCCAGGAGTGTGATGTGCCGTCAGCTCAACGCATTGAAGAGGTCTCAAAGATCAGCAGTGAGCTACAATTCTTGCCTGTCACATGAGTCACCCCTTAGATTCGTGCTTCTGGTGCTTAGACGCTTTTTGTACAGGCTTGCCTGCAAATGCTCAATTTTCGCCTGATGCGTTATTGGAATAGCCTCGACTCTCTTGCTCTTTCCTGTGCGAGTAAAACTTATTTTCTCCACCTTGATCCTTCCAGGTGATGTGAAAGATTTGTCTTGTTGTGGGAGTTTTGTTGGCTAGTTCGCAACTTACAGACACAATCTGTTGATGGAGTACCTGTAGTAGTTCCTGTTTTTACCCCTCAACGCTATCGTATGACAGAACAATACTGTCACCATGCTTGCCAGTGCCTTGAAGCAAAACGGTGCGCTGCCTGTCATTGCAAAAATCACCTTCGTATGGATTCACTGGTTTTGGCGACTTCATTCGTTGCAGGGGACTTCGAAGCGAGCATTGGGGCCAGAAAACAAGCCCAGGCTGCGACAATCAACCCGGTGTATCATGCGCTGTTTACAGCACAGTCAATGATGCAGAGGTGCGTCACCAAGACCTTTCACCGTTGAGAAGCTAGGTAGCAAAAAATGAAACTTGCATAAGATTCTGGACGTTACTCTTGGCAGGTCTGCATCTGAGGACTTTGAATTGAAGCCCAGCCCGATTGGAAGATTTAGTTTTTGGTTCCGCTTGAGCCACCGTTCAATCCTTGAGAGCATGCCTTCATCCTCGCACTGAGTGAGACATGCCCGCAGGTTACTTATCGAGTGTGGCTGGTTGATAATAGACCAGAAGTCACCTCAGGGAGGTCATATTTCTTGAGGAAACCGAGCTCGATGTCATCGACCTAGTTCAATGCTTGCGTACAAGGCAGCAAAGAGCGTCAGGATGATGCTCACCTCAATCCTCATTGCACCCCAGTGCAAGCAAGCTGGGCGTCAAGCGCGTCCTCATCTTCACCAACAACGACGACCCCCTGGCTGAGGTCAGCGCCGCCGAGCAGCGCAGCATGCGCAACCAGACTATCGCCAAGGCTCGGGTAGGCCCCCAGTGGTTGAACATTTTGCTTCGTTTGGTCCTCAGTACGAAATAAAAGCAAGCGTCGCTGCCAGAGCTCGACGAAGTTTGTCGTTTTCTCATCGAACCTAGGAATATTCGCGTACTAAGATGGTTCTCCTGGAAGCTTGACGTGGGACAGTTCTCTCGAGAAAAGTTGCCTTCGAGCTCACTTCAGCCATCTTTTTCGCTCCACATCGGTCAGCAGATCCCAGCTACGTACCACAAGCAGACTTTGCTGTTTGCCGGATGTTGCAGTGATCAATCGATCCTGTCATCTGACACCCTTACATCCAGTTCGATCCGAACAATCTCCGATGCACCTGTCTCCTCTTCTGTTTCGGTCAAGTAGAAACAAATGTTGTCCTCTCTGGCGGTACAAGCTGCGACTTGTAACAGCTGCAAGAAAGTGTAAGAAGCAAAAAAGTCGCTATATTGCAGGACATGGTTGATAGCAATATCTCCATCGAGCTGCTCCCAATGAGCCGGCCTGGAGAGGAGTTCGACATCCGGTTGCTTTACAAGGTAAACCGGCCCTCCAATCGGCCTTGCAACAAGGTCTCGAGTTCTGAGCCCTCAAGCGCACTGAAGGGGGCGAGAGTTGTCATAGTTTTTTCTCCTCTCAGGTAGTATGAGCGTGACTCGGTAATTGAACAATCTCCTTGCGAATGACGAAGTACGTTAAGGCAAGCAGCGAGCTTCAGCCGAAGTGGAACCATACGACACTGATGCAGTCTGGTTGGTAGGGCGAGTGTACGGCGGCCCATCTCAATTCAAACCGTAGTTGCTCATCTAGTTGGCTCCTTTTTGCCGCTCGTGCGGGAAGCGAAGGAGGATCGTTCTCTCCCGCATCGTGTCGGGTTCGTCAATCTGGTCTCTTACAGACATTGCTTTCTGCAGGACGTCATGTCGGAAGGGGAGGAGGACGACCCATCCAACTTTATAGTGAGCGCACAAGCCAAGTGAGTTTCGAGACCTCAGCTCTGTCATCTCGTGTGGCACCAAGATTCTTGTAGCTCGTGCGGATTGACCACTGCCAAAAACGCAGATGCTGCGGCGAGGCGAAACGTCGTTCCCCGCAGTTTCAAGCTGACGTAGTGCGTCTGGCTATACCTCTACGCCTTCCTTGTTCATCTCCGAGCTGATTAGGGTTGAAAGCAAGAACCCTCACAAACCTTCTGAATGAAGCCAATGCCCTTCTAAAAACGTCCGGGTCAACTGTCCTCCGGGAACGCGGGAGTGAGGTGTGAATTGTATCGGCCCCGTGGCCGGTCTTTGGAACGGACCATCTTGTACGGCGGGTTCCGAATCCACGCTTGCAGCTTGATCGTGGAACAAGATCAGATGTAGAATTGAAGAACACAACTCTGACTCGGACACGGTTTCGAAATAATTTACTAGAACCGTGAGTATTGTGCAGGTTTGAGGACATGCTGTCGACCGTGCGGAAGAAGATGCTGAAGAAGCGGGTCCAGCGGAAGATGACCCTTGCGATCGCGCCCGGCGTGGAGGTGGGCATGAACCTGTACGCGCTCATCCGCACGACGCGACCATGTGAGGCCGCCCTGCAACACTTGCCGCTTTGTGTTCCCTCGGAAATTTACGAATATATCTTGCCGACAGGTCGGTAGACAGGATGCGCAGTCTCGACTGCGGCAATTGTCGTGCTCACCTCCGGAATATAAAACGGAGAAAGGCTGCATTTTCTAAGGTTGTCCGGTGGACTGCAAACTTGCCTCCCTCTCCTTCGCGACGGCGCTGACAAAAGCGTAAGGAGTCGAACAAAGGGAAAAGTATACGATACTTACGATACTTTTCAAGTGATCACAGCCTGGTTTGAAGCTCATTCACTCTTTGACTGAACATCTCCAAAGACAGTCATGACACGGTCATCTATGGAAGATTTATTGCCTACTTGTGTGTTTGCAGCGCGAGCCGGGACCCTAGACTCTCGGACGCAGCAGCCGCTCAAGGTACATACTTGCTCCTTTCTGTCTACAACAGTGCTCGTTCGCATCGAGCTTTTTCTTACCCAACACCCCTCTTCTGTTTGCTAAAGAATGCGATCGAGCATCGTTTGTGTATTGACGGTCACCCGTCTCTGTCGGTCCTGCGGAATTAGAAGCAACTGAACGATGCTCGTAGACATTGTCGTGCGTCGATGACAGCCATGCTTATGTCTCCTGCTCACATGCCTTTCTCTGCGGACTCAGTGCCTGACTGTTGCTGTGCCGTTCATCCAGGTCGAGACGAAGTTCATCTGTGGCGACACGGGGGGAGAGTTGGACAAGCACACCATCCAGAAGTTCTACCCGTATGGCGCGTAAGTGACTTTCAGTCAAGGTCACTTTCCATCTAGGTAATACAGAAGCGTGACCTAGATTTCCGAAAACACCGTCTGCTTAAACTGAAGCTCGGCGATGCTACTGCTGAGTCAGTCAAATCAATCAAATGCAGTTGTGCATCACCAATGTTTGAGGCCTTTGGTTCGAAGCCGCAGCAGTGTGTGTTCTGCTACTAGGTTGGTCACGTCTGCACGACGAACGAAGTCAGCACACTGGTTGCTGGTTTGTAACGTTTTTCCAAGCGACGTTTGTTCATCGTGTTCGCAAAGCATCCCTGTCCTTGGTTGTTCAACGGACGCGCCAGGCGCCAGACGCTTGACAAGGTTGACCTTTGTCGCTTCGAAGTGGTCACCAAGCCGATTTACAGGCAACGCAACGAAGGGACGCCAAACGACGTTCAGCAACTCGTTCATAGCAAGCTTCGGCGCCCAAACAAATGTTCACTAACACATTACATATTCTCTTGACACAAGAAGCACTCGACCATCGCAACCTAGACTGAAGTACTCAACTATTTCCTCGCAGGGATAAGGTGGTGTTTAAGCAGGACGAGCTGCAGGAGATGCGGAAGCTGCGGGACCCCGGGCTGCAGCTGCTGGGGTTCAAACCGGTCGCGTGCCTCAAGCCGTACCACAACCTCAGTCCGCCCGGGTTCCTCTACCCGAGCGACGAGGTGAGAGATACGGCCGGAGACTTTTTAGGTTACTGGGAAGATTTCTGGAAAAGGAAAGGAGAAACGGAATCGGAAGTTCCTGAGAATGGAAGGTTGGAAGGAGACAATATTTACAAAAGGAGCCTGCCGGCGTTCCTCTATTCGAGCGACGAGGTGAGGCATGCGGGTGCACAGGTCGAGGTTCAGTAATTCCCGGAAGCTTTGAAAGCAGATGCGCAGGACAGTTGCTGTGGGTCACTGAAAAGAGTGGAGGGAAAGGCGTCAGGGAATAGGAAAGGGGTTCGAGTTGGGACAGATAGTTTGTTGAGTATCTGGGTGAAAGCGCGTTCAAAAGTAGAGGAGGTTTGCTTCGTTGGAAGCCGGCAGATAGAGAGCCCCTTTCTCGAGCCGTATGGTCGTGCAGGGCGATCTTTCTTTCTTTTTCTTTGGCAACTGGTGACGTACATGCAAGCACGCAGTGTCTGCTTGCGTGCACGTTATAAAAGAAAGATACGACGATGGACAGCTTTAAGCGTCTTTATTACGTTCGCTACGCAAATGACTTCATTTTAGGAGTAAGAGGTCATCGTTCAGAAGCGTTGTTGAGGGTGGAACATTCCTGAGGTTTCGTTTAGCTGGCCCTCGTTGCTTATCCAATTCCTCTGTTTTTTTTTGTTGTGCTTTAGTAGATGGGTTGTTCCTGTCGTCTCCGCAACCCCGTGTGAAAAGGCCCCACCGTAACCAGGGAGCACGCCTAAGCCGTCTCCGACGTGGCTCGTCGTTGACTCTTGCGTTTTGATTCCCAAGAAGAGTGGTGCTCTGCGTTGGGTGCGACCGCTGCCTGCTTCTTACCAGACGGGCTTGCCGCCTCCATACTTTCTTGAGGCTTCTCTTTCCTCGTTCTTGCAGAAAATATCTGGCAGCATCAAAGCCTTCATTGCCCTGCACACAGCCATGGTCAAGTTTCAAAAGTGAGTCCTTTGGACGCTGAAGCGACTTGCTGAGTTCTTGCCCTTCCGAGTGACCCGCTAAGGGAATCGTTGATTGATGATTCGGATACTCTGCGCCGTTTTTCATGGCTCTGAACACAGGCATGCAGCTTCCAAGAAGAAAGCCCTGTGACGCCAATCAGGATCGCCATCACTCATGACCAGGAGCAGTTTCAAGCGAGAAAGCAGTTGTGTTGGTCTTAGTGTCAGAAACGAATCTCGTGCAGCTACTGCAGGGATTTGGATGGAATTGCGTCGGGCCTTCGATAATTGCTTGCCCTGATAGAAAGGCTTTGCTTCCAATCTCCATCGGCTCCGAAATCTTGTTACAGTTGTGATCGTGAATCTGCGCCCAAGAAACCAATTTTGTTCAAGCTTTTTCCACACATGGTGCGCAGGTTCGCCGTCTGTAGCCACGTGCCCTCGATCCGTTCCAACGTCAAGCTAGTCGCGCTTGTCGCTCAGGTCAGTCTTGCAGTCGCGGAGTTGATTTCTTTTTTTCCGTCTCAAATGACACATAGAGACCGAACGAAGCAGAGACGTAATGCGCTCAAAGGAAGGCAATCTGTCGGCGATCCGGCTGATTCTTTCTTGGGGTGCCGTAGTTTACAGTGTCTGATTGTGAATGATGACAATGCAAGCCGCCTACGTTGGGGCAGCGCCTACATCGGGGCAGCGCCTCCAACAAGCTTCGCGTACCGATATACAGAGCTTCTAACGAGAACAGTTGCAACGACTGAGTCATTGAAGATTTTCCTGGTGCATTCTCCTGTGCGTTCAGAGTAGTCTGGCTCTCGCGCCTCTTTTTCGCCTTTGATGACCGGGTAGCCGGTGAGTTTTTGAGCACTTTGGCCCTCGGTTTGAACGAGATGGTGGAGCAGGTACTCTTGAAGACCCTGAGAACACCGCTAGAGAGCCCTACTCCGTGTTCTAAGAATTGAGATTGTAAATAGGAGAGAGAAATTGAATGTGCTTACGCTGTGCCTTTGCTGGGCAGGAGCAAGTTGTGGACGAAAGCGGCGCGCAACTGGAGCCGGCCGGGTTTCAACTCATCCCGCTGCCGTTCTCCAACGACATCCGGGACCCAGTCAAGGTACGTCGATTCTTCTTTCAGCTTGTGATTGTCGTCTATTCATCAAGTGGGTGTTTTATTTGTGCAGAAACGTTCTGACACGTCCATGTATTGTTCGCTTCGCTTTGTCTTACGATCGCATCCGTCCTGCGTCGCTTCGCTTATGGAGGAATCTCCTTTCCCTGGGATTCATCTAGTGGGATGGTTGCTGTAATCTTATGGGTATGGTATCCTAGCGGCCTCTTCGTTTTGCCAAATGTGTGCTGCCATCCGCTCGTTTTCGGTCTCACTCGAGTGGCTCCTATACTTGAAGCCGATGTTTCCTCTCTGGATATTGAGCTGGGAAAGAGAGTTCTATGCGGGTGAGGATCAGTCGCTTCTAAATGCGAACAATCCTTCCTGTTCGTTGAAAACCTGGAAATAAGCGGTTTACAGAAACAGGTGACCTCAGAAGTTCCCTCATCGCCTGCGGAAATGAACAATGAGAGCAATTCATGATCACAGACAGTCAACCCTTTCTGGTCTTGATACGAAGGGAGGGCCTCTTGTTCTGCTCGTGAGACATTAATCACACTGACTTGCTGTTCAGCAAGTAGTAGGGCGCATCTCAGAACTTTGCTCCTTCTAGGATCGAGGGCTCCCTGTTTGTGTGCAGCAAATTTTTCTTGTCGGGCGTATCTCTTAATGAGAGCTACCTCTGAGAAACGAGAGCCCCTCTGTCTGTCTGCAGCACCACGCAAGCGAAGCGGGCCTCGCGCCGCGGGCCTCCCAGGAGCAGATTGACCGAGCGGCTGACCTCCTGAAGAAGATCGACCTGGGGAACACCTTCAGTGTGGTCCAAATAGCAAACCCTGGTGAGACTAGTAACCGAAAGCGGGAAAGCTGTTGCAGAGTCGTTCGTGCGGCCGCTCAGTGGGCCTTTGCAAGGCCTTTGGGCAGTCTTTGTAGCGGGCCTCGGGCCGGACCGACTGTGCTTTCAACTGTGACTCTGATTCGCAGTGGCTGTCAGCCTGACTTGGACAAATTTGCTTGCTTTCAGACCGACAAGCAAGACATAAGGACCTTAAAATCTTTTTCTGCAACCTTGGAAGCCGGGCGGCAAGTTAGCATGAAAACTACTAGCGTCAGGTTCAAAGTCTTCGAGAGCCAAGATGCGTCAGCCCGCGCATTTGTCGATGCATCTGCCCTTCTGGAAAGTCCCGTGACCCCACAAAAGACTCCTCTTCTCGCCCCTCCTCTTCCATGTTCTTCTCGATCGTTCCGGGGTGGTTACATTCACCTTGTGTGAAGATTCCTTCCGAATCTGTACTGAGTCAATTCAACCTGACTACGTTGCTTGGTCATGTGCAGCTCTGCAAAAGCACTACGCGTCCCTCCAGGCGCTTGCGTTAGATGAGGACACAATCCCCGAGGTCGAAGACTGCACGCTGCCCGACGAGGAGGGCATTACCCGGTGAGCATCAGATACAACATTTTAGAAAGCTCACTCGGTTGTGATCGTTTCAGCTTTCATACTTGGTCAGCTGTGGTCACAACTTCATCTACATAGGAGAGGCAACACGGTCGAGAGCGACTTTCACTACGTGAGTTGAGAGAAAGTTTCTGCAAAACAAGTTTACCTTGAGACCAACAGCCTCTTGGAAACACGGCGAAATCTGACGCTCCGGTTGTTTTGGCAGCCGTGCGAAGTTGGCTGGCCAGATTGTCTCGCTGAATGTTTGTCACTTTCCCAGGCTTTCTATTCGTCACCTTCTGAATGAACGGTTCCGAGAGTCGACTGACAGCCCCATCGGCTCGCCAAATGAAGGGCATGGCAAAAGTCCTTTCCGGCGGCTCTTGCACCTTACTGTCAGCTTGACTTCTGACCTGGTCCCGAGAATCATAATCACACTCTAACGTTTGCCTCAGACCGGCTGCCAACCTGCATGCCAATGAATCTGCAAAGGCCGACCTTCGACACCATCGAAGATCGAGGAGAGGCATCCTTCCTGTTTTATCTCCGTAGGAGTCACGTCCCTTGGCGAATAGCAGCTAGGAAGTAGCTCCTTCATTTACACTCAGACGACCCATTCTCTGTCCCCAAGGCCCCCAGGCCAGCTGTAACCGAAGCTTGAGACACGTTCAAGGACTCGGTGTGCGGTGCACTTTGCTTACGTTGATTTGTAACAGGAGAGGGAAGAAATATGGTATAGGAAGGTTGAAAAGAAATCAGGAAAGTGTTTTCAGGCCGAGTCTCTTTGGACCGAAGCATCGTGCAAGGAGTCGCTGTATGGCCAAATCATTGTCCGCATTGAGGACAAAGAGAACAAACAAACCCTGTTTTCTCGAGCCGGTATCTCGGAATCCATCAGGGATCGCAGAAACGAAGAGAGCCGACCCACAAACAATCCGCTATTTTTTCTCAGGCCGGTGGTTACCAAGGCGGGGAACGCCTTCAAGAAGTCGGTGTATGGCCGCTGTGTTGTCCCTTAAAGGTCCCCAAGAGAAGTTAAGGACCGCAAAAAGGGCGAGTCCGCAAACAAACAAATACTGTTTTCAGGCCGGTGGTTACCAAGGCGGTGAACGCGTTCAAGGAGTCGGTGTACGGCCCCGACTGGGAGGAGGCTGAGGCGGCGGCCGCGACGCAGCAGGCCCAGCCGAGCGAAGCGGCGAAGAAGCGAAAAGCCGCCGCGGACTTGGCGGCATCGCAGCAGGGTGCATTCAACTGGAAAGAGTTGGCGGAGAAAGGGCAGGTGAGGCGCTAAATTAGGGTGTTGGTTTCCGGAGCTCAAAACACTTCGGAACGCTTCTTTGCAAAATGGAAAAGCGTGTCACTGATTTGGCTGATTGGGGGACCTATCTGCTGCGGCACTCGCGTCCAGAGAAAGTCTTGGAGGTCTTGTTGCGGAAGCACAGTCATGCTTGTACGAGTCGACTGGGGCGGGAAGCAAAAATCTAAGGGTTGGGTTGGCTGTTGCCGATGGAGGCCGACCTTTTGATCGTAAGTGACTCTGCTGCAGACCACTGGATGGGTGCGTACCTAATTTCAGTACCTTGTAGAGTCTGTGCTTGGGTTGCTGGGAAATGAGACAGTGCTCCTATCGATCTCAATCTCGGGGGGTTGTTGCAACAAGAGCGCTGAAAAAGCGTCCAAGAAACGCGTCAGTTTCGGAACCTTTCGTTTCGTCACCAGAAGTTTGCGGAGCTTTCTTCGAGGTATTTTGCAACATGGTCTCGATCGCGAACACAGATTGCCGCATTTTTTAAAGCGACAAAGTTTTGATACCCGGCTCTGTCAGCGAATTCTAGCAAGGGGGTCGTCCGAACCAATGGACGCGCTTAGCACTAACGGCCATCCCTTTCCTGGCAGCTAAACACGCTGAAGAACGAGGAGCTTAAGACATACTTGAGAGCGAACGCCTTGCAAGTGGGTGGTAGCAAAAACGCCCTGATAGAGAGAATACTGAAGCACATGGGTTATTGACGGTCCGGAGAAGGACTGACGCCACCAACTTGACGCCCATTGAAGCTGCCCCTCAAGACTTCCTATTTGTCTCTCCTTGAGTGACGTTAAGGATCAGGATTAGATCTGAAGCACGAGCACTACTGACTGAGACGTAGATTGGATGGAGTCATCTAGCTGCTCTTGGACTTTGACTACATTCGAGTACAATGTACATAATACAACGGTTAAGCAAGGGCGGCGATTGCATGCTATAGTAGTCTGCGAAGTCAATGTCAGAGGTTGGAAAAGCTTTTTCTGTCGGCTCGGTAGTCTGCAATTGGCTTTACCGGCCGGCTGAGCCCACCAAGTGCCTGCCATTTCTGCCGGCCAACCAGCCGGCGCCGTGCCTTTGGAATCGGCCGGGGTCCTGTCTCGGCCGGCCAGGTCCTAGTTCTCTTGCTTGACTTAAGGCCAATGTCGAAGCGGAAATTAAGGCTTCGCATGCATCTGCCTTTTGCAGATGTCCTCATTCGAGTTTTTGACTAATACGCACGTGCTAAGCACTTGCACAAGTTAAGGCACAGCACAGTTGTTGTTGCACAAGCATGTTTGTGACTACTGAATTCGAGGTCTATTTTTGCATAGATATGCATGTTTGAAACCGTTTGAAATTGTTCCATGCAATCCCTTGATGTTTATCACAGGACAATTTCTGCGCAAGTGTGCATAATAGATTATTGGGAACCCTCTGCTCAGCTGAATAGGAGTCGCTGCAATATGCGGACACTCGCACCATGAGGCACGCCCGGCGACGTTTGCCAGAGAGGCCCGGCCCGCGGCCGCCAGGCTGAAGCCGCTGCTCGTATATGTTCGAGATGCACATGCGACCGGCCCCGCTCTAGTTGCCGCAGATACTTTACCAAAGCGTGCCAGCTGGACGGCGCTGCCACGTGGCGATCGCACATCCAGCCTGAAGTGGCAGCAATCTGGCGCGCAGGCTGCCACGCAATGGCGCCGTTTGATGCTCATCCGATCAGCGCATCCAAATTGCAATGGGATGGATGTGAAGAGGGGGACGCCATGGAGGGAATCTGCTGCACACTGCACAGGCTGAAGCTAGGTGACCCAAAGCTGGCTTTCGCATTGGCTCCCTTTTGCTCTTTCTAGGTTTCAGTTTCCGTAAGGACTTAAGTTTCGGCTGCCACATACATGCGCGCCCGTTTGAGGCAGCTGCAGCGAGGAGACGCTGACATGTAGCTGACGCGCAATGGCGTCAACTGCATTCATTGCCAGAGTAGGCCGGTCTGCCTTCCTGGCCGGTCACATTCACCATTTAGAAGATACATTGCCTGCAACTGCCGCCCGCCCCGCATTTGTGCACCAAAAAACAGCCAGGCACTCATTTGTAATCAGGGGACAGCAGTCTCCTTCTAGAAGATCAGAAGGAATTCCAAGGCAGGGGTCGGGTCAGCCAGGGTTGAGAACTGTCGGCAGGCGGTCGGCATTCAAATTGGCGGGGGAAAGAGTTGGCAGGGGAATGGGAATTGGCGCAGCTTCCGGGAACGCTGACCCGGGGGAGCTGAGAGTGGTCGAAATCAGCTCACATCAGAAGACAGCAGGTGCCGTTGTGACTTTGTTTCAGAATGTGTCCGCACTGATTCCCCCATATTCTGTCTGGATTCTGTTCTGGATTTTGATCTATTTGCTGAAACGAGTATTCCCATTTTAGACTAAATTTGGTCACTTGACTTTGAAGTTGGACAACAGCTCAGTCTCACCTCTGAGCTATGCAACGCCTGTTGAACGCTCCTGGTGAGAAGATAAAGCAGGCGAAGATGTGACCTTTCAGTCGCAAAGCCAGCGAGTATGCAGCTTCTCAGAAGGAGCTTGCTTATGAGGACTTCGAGAAGATTCTGTTCTGCAGGAGGTAAAACTTTGCTGGCGGCAATTGCGATGGCTCAAAGGTTGTTTAGTGGCGTCTCTTTCGTTTTCAGAACGACAGCAATGTGAGCAATAGAGTGTGGTCAAACGAATTGCTTATGGAAGTGAAAGTGCGATTGAGCAGAGGTCCACAGCAGAGGTCCGCTTGCAGCAAAGCAAAAAGGTAACACGAATTATGCTCGGGCGAAAGCCTGGCAACTCTGCATGATCGTGCTAGGTGCTGGGTGTCTGCAGTCACTAGAAGAACGCACAGACAGTTTCCCAGGAGACTGACCGACTGCATCTTTACTTCGCTCAGTGCGTGAAGCAAGCCATGGTATGTCTTGAACTGTGGTTTTGCGGTTTCTCTTGCCAATCTCTTTGAAAGTATTCTCACAACCACCAAATCAAGGCTCATTCATTCCCCTCACAGCCAACCCCTATGGCTACGCCTGGTGGAAGGTCGCCCTCGCCGTCGCCGCCACCGCGGCCTTCTTCTACCTCTTCACCTCGCTCGAGGCCCAAATGCACGCCCTCCAAGCCCCCGATCTTCCAAAGATCACCATCCCCGACAAATGGCCGTGGCCGCAGCTCCGAACGCCAGCGGAGCTCGAGGCGACCTTCAATATTCTCGGGGAAGCCGGACGGGGAATCTACAAGTGCTACATGGCCCTCGACTTCTTCTTCCCAGTAGTGTATACGGTGCTTTACTCCCAGCTGTTGGGTTTCCTGGTAGTGTGGTCGCAGTTCTGGGCCCGGATCCCACGGAACATGTTTCCGAGCTGGATCGGATTGCTTGCATACACAGTTTTCCCGTGGGACTTGCTCGAAAACGCGGCGGTGTTTTACGCCATGAGCAATCCCGGGACGGCGCTGTCGCACAAGGTGGCGGCCGCCGCGGGCTACTTCACGTGGGTCAAGTTTCTGATGGTCGTCGTTAATGTTTCGTTCATGTACATGGGTCTCCTGCTCGGGGTGTTCGACTTTGTTTTCAAGTTGTTGAGGAATAGGTATGACGGGCTGTCTGCTATCATTTACAGCCTCGCGCAACGGTAGTAGATTTGGAACGGGATTGGGGGGGTTATGCAGCGGCGCCGGGTGTGTGGGAGGGTCGGTTGTGGACACTAGCTGAGACGCAAAACATTCATTCGTTTCTGTGCGGTTCGATTTGCCTGATACCGTGTAGCTGATCCAGTCAAGCGGCGAGTACGAGGGAGCTGCCCCGTTGCGAGTTAGACAAGTTGCGAAGTTTGTAATCAGTCACCTAGAGGCACTAAGGTTAGAGAAGAGTACGTTTCTACAGTGCTTAACTTTGCGTTAGGTACCCTTTCTTAGCTACAACCCAACAGGTTTGCACTTGATGTAATACAGCCCGTCTTTGTAAGCCTCGATCATTTTTGAGCACGTCCCTCTCAAAGGTATTGCATCAGAAATGTTGTGTAATCTCCACTTGACAATCACAGCTTTGTGATGATGACAGTGTGACAGTATACTTTGCGGAGCTGCGCGCTCGTAGTGCCATGGTCGATCATCTGGCAAAACTGCAAAACATGTGCCGCGCTCTGATCCTTGCGCGTTGAACTCCTTGATATACGGCCCCATAAGATCCGGGGTTTGACAATCGGGAACCTGACGGTTTACATGCTATGATCCAGTAAACTTATTTTAAACTGTCCACGGATTCATGAGCGGGTCGGTGTGGCAGTGACCCATGTGACGTCATCATCGCCATGCACAGCGACAGGTTGGCGCTAAGTTTGCTACAGCCAGCCAAGGATCGATTGAAACGTGAACCGGTGCGTTGAGCTAGTAGTGGATAGAAGAAGGCAATCGTTAAAGCTTACACCATCAAGCGGATTCCGCCAGCCGTTGCTCGAGTACCAGATTACGAGCTGAACAAAGCTGTCCTTGCTGACTCCAACTTCATCATGAACGAAGAAGATGTAGGCCACTTAGTTTGGCTCCCCGAAGTTCATGCAGAGCTGGTACATGCTTGACAGCGTCACGGGTAAAGAAGTTGGGCGACGAAGATTTGTTTGTAATGAGCGAGGATACCATTCGTGTATCAAATGTACGTACATAGCGCGAGCAAGAGTGGACACAAGTTTTGGCGGAGACCATTTCTTGAGATTGAATATTTGCACGTCGCACATGAACTTACGTGTGTGCTTTTCACAGTCGGAAGCTTTCATCAGAACTAAGATTGCAGAGAGTCGCAAGCTGGCCGCATCGTGTGAGTGAAACGAGTAGAGGTAGCTGCATGTGCTGGCACACACATTTCTATCTCAAACAAAGCCTGGGTTCCGCAGTCTGCATCGATATGAGCAAGCGCTTGAAGCAGTTCAGAATCGAAATGTGTCGGAAATCATTCAAACCAAACGGACAGAATTGGTACAAAGCTAACGCGGTACTGCAAGTTTGAGCTTGTTCGCTTCACAATCGAAAGGAACACTGACACGAGACAAGACCGCCTTCGATGCCCGATGCAACCTGCTGATTTTCTAGACGGCGAAAGCAGCAAAGCAGCTGCTCTCCTAAGAGCGGAATCCACTGCCCACAATTTGCAAAGGACCCTCCTCGCTGAGTTTCACCATTGTCTTTTCCTAGTAGAGGTCGTCTTATCATGTACAAACACCCACGCTAACGGCTTCCTATTTACAAAACGGCTCTGATTGCAACGAGCTAGTACTTGGATCTCTAACACTTTTCGGTACAGTACCGAAAAGTTTTGTACGTTTGTACGTAAGTTTTGTACGTGCAAACAAACCAAGACACTACTCCGGACCCTTTGTAGATCTGCATCAAACCGGCCGTTTAAGACTCTCATTCGTTGCTTCCTGAAACAGAAAGGGCTCTTCGTTTCGCACGTACTTCGCGAGGTGATCCGCTGCCTGCTCCCTCTTCCGACCTGCAGATTCTTCGGAGTGTCTTCACACACTCCCACTTTCCCCCGTTTTCCGACATCTCAAAAGTGAGTTCCCTCAGTTCAGGACACCCTTCCAGTGGTTTTTCCTGCTCGGAGACCCATTTTAGAGTCCGCTCTTTTGCGTTCTTTGACGACGGAGTATCCATCCTGACATGAAGCTCCTGCAGTTGGGGGCAGTCTTTCTCGAGCATCTCATACAACGACGCGGGTCTGAAGTCCACGTAAGAAAAGTGGCGCCAGTAGAGCTCTAGAACCCGTAAAGTGTTTGGGAAAGTAAACCCAGGGATATTGACCAACAGTGGACTTGGGCACATCCGACGGCTGCTCATCCTACTACCGGCATCGTATACGGTTGCGCTCAGGTGCCGAAGACTGGGGAGGTTTGCTGAGACGAGAGCAAATGGGAAGTCTACGTCGGGTTGATACTCCGGGGTAAGGAAGACTCCAACTCCAAGGTAAGGGCAATACAAGCCTGCGATGTTCAAGCTCGCCAAATGTTCGTGCTTCACAACGAAGTCGTAATCTAGATCATGGCGTGCCATGGATAAGCCTTCCAAGGTCAGAGCTTCGAGCTTGGGAAAGCGTTCCAAGAAGCTGAAGACAGTACGCTCGAACCGGAAGTGAAACCCTGTAATGACCAGTCTCTTGAGGCCAGTTGCACACGCAGAGACTATCTTCTTTGGGTACTCGTCCTCCCACGTCGTTCTACAGGAGGTTCTACAGCGCTGCCCACAAGAGGTCCCTTCTATCTCGACGTCTTCCCAGGGAACCTCGGTCAATATTCTGAGAAACGAGAAGTTGCAGTGCTCTTCCTCGCTTCGATAGCTTGTGTCTGTGATCACCAGCTTGATTAGACCGGCGCGCAGGCTGAGCTCCTCTACGAGGATCTCTTTGGGAAGCTTCAAGTTGACGGGGAGTGCCCCATCTATCAGCTCGCCATCCGCTGTTCCTCGCTCACAAGCTGACAAACCCCGCGCCCGTTTCAAAGGCGTCACGACCAGAGTCTTGGTGCACCGTCGCGCAGAGTCACGCAGACCTTTGCTGGTTTGCTCCAGCGCTTGGAAGCTCTTTGCGCAGCTCTGCCGCACCTTTTCTGTGATCATGTCCAAGAGCTCAGAAGGAAGCAGGGTCGAAGCTTGTTTCTAGCGCCGGCGCCATGGCTCCTAGATATCGATAAGGTGCGCTGATCAAATCGTCTTTCAAGATTGCTGGGGCTTTGAGAAGCGGGCCGCTTTGAAGACAAGGCTGAACCTTCAGAAAAGAATACACCTATCGTTTCTTCGCGGCTAGTAGCCAGGCGCTTTCATGGAGTAAAGCTTTGAATTCGACGCTCTTCTGCTCCAGAAGCAGCTTGGTAGCTGCAGCCACTGCGATTCTCGTCAACGAAAGCTATGCAACAGGGAGACGTTCTGCCGAAGTTGATTCGTGTTGATGCCTGGGTTTACTTTAGACTTGAGACTAAAGCTTAGTCGAGGCAGTCGAGCATCTTGCATGACATCATCTTTGAACGGTTTCATTTTATCGCAGTGTCATGATGTGCTGCTTGACACAGGCTTGACATACGGATTGCGCCGGCTCATGCATGCAGATCAGCCGTTTAGATGGCCAGAGATAAGCGGAGAAGTCGCTGAACGATTCTCCTGAACTTCTGAGGTTGACGATCCGCTTATTATGCTTGACAAGGTCCAGTCAGATGTGCTGAAAAGCGAAGACACTGCTTCTTTGCATCACTTCCATTGCACCCTAAGAAGAGCAGAAAGCGCGCCTATGGTCATCTTTCGTGCAACGGACCTTAAAGATAAGAGTCCATACAACAGTGAGCGCCTCTCCGCTTGAGCGCGCGCTTTTGCGCCTATAGCCGCATCGCGGTTCCAAAACTGCGGAGCTCTTCAAACCTTTTGGGCAGGTCTTGATTGGAAAACCCCACTTCTGCTCTAGCTTTGACGCACTTCTTATCTTTCGGCCCTATTTGCGCGCCTCGATAAGCAGTTAAGAGCAATGGCGCCAGCAGTGGTCGGATCACGCTTTGACCAGCTTCCTTCTGATGTGATAGACATCATCACGGAGAAGATCCGTTGCGACTGCCTGCAAAGCTTCCAGGCCCTGAAGCGAACCAGCCGCAGTCTGCGTCAGTCCGCACAGCGGTGCAGCAAGGCTCTGATCCTGACGCCTTCCAGGCGCTGCAAGAACGGTCTGTTTGTGCGTCAGAAAGCGACTTCAAAGAGCGCATCAAAGACATCGAGGCTTCCGAAGAAGATCCTGTCGCAAGAGTTGAGCCAGTGTGCTCAGGTATCCAAGCTGGTGGTCAAGAGAATCACATGCTTCAGAGCGGGTCGCAACTCCTCCATTTTGGACCCACTGATTTGCATGCCCTGGAGGGACATTGAAATAGACGGACTATGTCGTGGCGAGAACCGCAGAACTTTTCTGAGGAGCCAATGGGGAGAAGGGTTTCCGGAGGAGCAGATAATCCTCCGTTCTGCAGCCAGCCTCAAAGAATTGATCCTTATAGACTTTGATTTCGTGGGAATGAAGGGTATCACACCTTTGTTGCACAAACTTCCTAACCTCGAGACTCTGAAGGTGGGAGGATTCTACTTAAGAGGCTACCCGGAATGCCTGGTGCGCAGCTTTGCGAAGCACGAATGCCTGAAGACGTTGGACGTCGCAGACTTTGCCTGCCGGAATCGTGGCTTCTTCATGGCCCCCTCGGATCAGCAGTTGGTCCCTGAGAACGCGTACGTATCATTAAAACTAAGTCTCCCCAGACTTCAGCACTTGATTGCGACTGTCTATGACTACGTCGGATCGAAACGCAAGAAACATCCGTGTCTGCTTGTGGACAGTCCGGGCTTTTCATTTCCAACCAAACTAAAGGTCCTGGAGCTCTACTGGCGCTACTTCACCCGTGACCAGGAAACTAGGCTCTCTTCGCTTTACTTCATGCTAGAAAGAGATTTTCCACAGCTTCAACGACTCCACTTTAGGATCCCCACGCCGAAAAATGAGAAGGCAAAACAGAGGAGCCTCCAATGGATGTGCGAGCAGAGCGGCATACCACAAGGGCTGTCGGAGCTCGAAGCAGTCAGTTTCGAGATAGAAGAGAAGCCGGGGGAGTGGCAGTGCATCAAGAGAGTTTGTAGGCAGTAGATTGCTGTGAAAGCCAGGCATCTTAGGGCGTCGAGCTGTGGGCGAGAGAAGACCGATGTTGGAAAGTGTATCAAAAACAGATGTCTGCTCAGGGGAGGATGAAGCAATGGGAAAGTTCTTCTCAAACTGCCTTTTTGATGGAAGGAGAATAGAAGCTGCCGATTTTCTTGTACATACAAATTTTTGCAGATAAAAGATGGTCAATGAGACATCAAGATTCTATACGAAGCCGTCTTAGGCTGTTAGCACATGATTCTTTTGGCAACACTCAAGAATACCTCGGTGCCATTGGCTTCAGACGTCCTGAAAGAGATACTGTTTTGAAATGCTTTGTAAATACTTGTTGGTCCAACCCTTTGTGGCAGAGTCTATCGGTTTTGAAACAAAATAGATAACCCAAGAGCCGTTTCAGCCTGGTGGCTCCAAAGGACATCATGCCGATGCTTATTTCGACTACTAATACTTGGCTTCTGTCAGATCGAAAGCTCTGCAGTACTTTGTTTGTTTGCATGTTGCCTAGCTAAGCACAGGACGCAATGAAGATGTTGGGCTAGTCGTCAGTCCGACCTTTTCTTGTCATGGTGGCTTGAATAACCGTCCAGTTCGACATCACACTCTCGGAGTTGTAAGTCACCCGAATAGGTGGAGAATGGTCCTGGGCAATCTATTCTATTCGCTATACTTCCGAAATATTGCCCACATGCAGATTTGGGGCAGCTTTCACTATACATGCTTGTGGCATGAATATGATACTTACAGATTAGACTGCTTCATGTACGATCCGCTTCAGAGCCTCAATTTGATGAACGGCTTCCTCTTCAAGAATGCAATCATCTCCGCACTTGCTCAAACTACGTAGCTCAACCGTTCGAAAGTTTAATGATCTGGACACCTCTTCTTACAACCCGAGCTAATGATTTGCTCCAATTGTGTTTTAAGTGCTGGAGAGCGTGCGTAAAATCATCACCGAACTTGAACGGGTTTGTGCTGTCCGTTTCATGTGAATAAGTTTTACGAGTTAGCAGCTATTGCACTCTTGCCGAGTTGAAGGCAAAGGGCTCCAATGGTCCATGTTCCCCCTTTTGCCTGGTTTAGACGGTTCGTGCTCTCAACACATCAAAGTCTGTTTATCCAAATCCCTGCTGGCGTCATCTTGACTGCTGAGATGCGTACGAGGGCCTCAAACCGACCTGAAGAAGCTGAGAAGAGCACGGATTAAACCTTGTGGAACAGCATAGAGATGAACTGCAGAAACGAATGCCGAAGTCATGCAAATAAGCCAGGGCTCCAGTGGAGCGAGACGTCTGCTGTCCTTTTAAAAAACCTTAGCCCTTCCTCTCTACCTTTCGCACTGTTGTTTCCATCCGGAGGAATTCACGTTGTCCATATAATGTGTGCACTTTTCGCCAGGACTGCTTTGCAATGATCTAGGCGTTTATAATTGGCTCGAACTACATATGCGGATCTCAACGAAAAGGCGGATTCAATATGCGCGCGTGCATGAAGGTCAAGGCGCCGCGGCCCGGCCCGTCGGCCGGCGCGCGCGCGCGCACTAGGGCGCTTCGCATCGATCGAGTTGGTGGAGGTATGCTGATGTCAAGTTATGGTGCATGACATGCGACTTCATGCTACTGATGTTATTTAGAATCCCTCGAATGTCTCGACCAGCAATTCTGGCTGTTTAGATGGGCCGTAATTCAGACGAGAGTCTCACTGTCAACCCTGTCTAGGAGGAGCCTATGAAAGCTCTGTATCGACTCGGACATGAAGGAAGCTCAAGCACTGCGCAGAACCTCCCGGCTCTTATTGCATCTGTAGCAGCTTCTCTTGACGGAAAGCTAAGATAAGCTTCGCGCAGTGCTGCCATGAGTTGAGTTCAGAGGCCGCCAACATTAAGCAGGCGTCTGCGTGGCTGTCAGGTCCTGATTTGAAGGGGCGCTCGACAACATTAGCAGCTAGTCGCAGAGAAATTGTTTTCCCGCAGATTTGGGCTTTCCCTCTACACTCCCATGTTCTCATCTCAAGAGGGCGTGCCAAAGTGACGCTTGCGCACCGTATCAGCATTCAGAAGCCATGCCCTCAGAGTCCGCAACAATGGTCGACCGGCTTCCTCCAGAGCTTTTGGACATCATCACGAACAAGGTGCGGCAAAGCTGCCCAAAGGGTTTTCGAGCGCTGGAGCGAGCTAGCAGAGGTCTGCGCGAATCCGCGCGACGGTGCAGCAAAACTCTGGTCGTGGCGCCTTCTGATTGGGTGCGAGAGCAGTCAGATGGTGACTCAGAAACAGCGGATGACGAGCAGATTGACGAGCAGGTTCAGTGGGTGCCCCCTGCCATAACTTCGAAGCTTCCTGAAGGGCTGATCCTTTTGAAAGAGTTCAGCCTGCGCCCAGGTTTATCAAAGCTGGTAATGACAGACACAAGCTTTGAACGAATCAAAGAAGAAACGCGCTGCGAAGCATTCTCGGTCTTGAAGATTCTCACCGACTTTCCTTGGGAAGACGCCGAGATTGACGGGTCCTTCTGTGAGAAGCGGGAAAGAAGACTTTGCAGGATTTGGGAAGAAGAGTTCCCACAAACGATAATCGCTAAGTGCGCGACTAGCCTCAAGAGACTGACCATCACGAGGTTTGAGTTTCGACAAGAGCACACCGTCGTCAGCTTCCTGCAAGGCCTTCCCAAGCTTGAGGCCCTGACCCTGGACGGCCTATTCCTGGGGCGGTGTAATGTACACTACGATCCACGCGTGAAGCACGAGAAACTAGCAAGCTTGAACCTTGCGGAACTGCGGAGCCCCTTCCTTGGGTCTTCTTGGACTCGTGTGATCAAAACGTAGTCCCTAAAGGGGCTTTCCTTGTGGCCAGTCTTCCCAGCCTTCGACAACTGAGCGCCACCTTGTATCACGGTAGCGGGATAAGCTATGGACATCGCCAGACACCACTGATGATGGAAGCTCCTCTCTTCTCTTTCCCAAGCTCTTTGGAGGCCCTCGAGCTCTACTGGCGCAAATTCTCTTCTGAGGACTTCAAACCGGCGTCGCCTTTTCGCGATGCTTGAGAGAGACTGCCCGCAACTGCGAGAGCTTCACGTCCGGATGGATAATCCAGTAACCGAAGAGGCGAAGCAGCGGAGTCTGCAATGGATCTACCAGCAGAAACAGCTACCTGTAGGCTGTCCAGAATTGCGGGAATTGAGTTTCGAGATAGCGGAAGATGGGGGGAGGTGGGAGTATGTGAAGAGACTTTGCAAGTCGGGGAGGAGGTAGGCGATGGGCTGGATGGCTTCGCGGAGTACTCTCCAAAGAGAAAGCTCTTTCTTCGTGGGGAAGGGGGACTTTTCTAGAGGAAAAGCAGGTAGAGCTTTGTTCCCGGAACCCTTCTGATGGAGCACGAACAAAGGCGTCCAATAAGTGTAGCTGTTTGTATAAAGAGCTGATTCCTTGGAGATAAAGCGAGACTTTGAGGCGTCAATGCAGAGCGAGTGTGGGTATGGTTTTGGCGCCCAAGGATACCAAAAAATGAATACTGAGATTAGCCAATTCTTCAAAGTGCCGACCGTGTTTTTTGGATACTACAATATAGCACTATCTGGGCACAAACTTTCTGCTCTTTGAACCATAGAGAGCTGAGCGCCTGCTTTTTAGCTACGTTCGCCTTCAGGTCAGAGGAGAAACGTTTTAGTCGGGCAGTGAATAAGGCGGTCGCAATCTGTCTCATGCCAGTGCCGCTTTGAAGCGTGATGGAAACTTGTACATGACGCAGATTTGGATTCTGGGCTGGACGGCCGGGTAATTCTTGTCAATAGCAATGGACCTGATCCTATTGTGATGATGATTCAGGTCTTTCATCTTTTCTGCGGGTCTCTGCGCTATACAACAAGGGTTAAGGGCGAGTCGTCCTTTTGAGATACTTTTACATTGTCTATCTGGAAGAAGATACTGATCTGTGTCCGCGGTTTTCCTTTCTGAAGAGAAAGAAGAGTCTTCTGATGGGCTTGGACATTTGGTTTTGGATCTAAACATTCAAACATGCTATGCACATGAGCTGCCTCATTCTACTCTTGTGTGTACTGCCAGCTCGCGAGTCTCAAGGTTCTTCAAAGCTTCCGAATGCAACAAAGCATACGACTTTGCATCACGCTCTGACGTGATGGTCCAAAATTCAATCTGATGAACGGCTCATGTTGCAAAGCGGAAACGTCCTCTCAACTCTTGCTCGTGTAATATGCCATGACAATTTGAAGCACGAATTACTGACTGATGACTTCGTCTCGGCGCTCGTCTTCCATGAGTAGTTGCTGTCAAGCATGTTCTGATCCGTTCTCAAGAGCCTGAAAGCTGGCTTCATGATCTTCGTTTGCTGGAATTCGTATCAATCAAAGAAAATAGTCGGCTGAACACACGTCAAAAGAAAAGCTGGCGCAGAAACGCCAAGATGTCACTGAGTCATGCCACGGTTCCAACCGATTTTGGCGGTCAATACTTGGTCAGCGAAGCACAAAGCATTGGTTTGACGCCGCAACCCATATTTCGGTGGAGTGAGTTTCGTCGTTGAGGGGTTGTCGAGTCACTCGAAGAGGTAATCGGCGATCGATGCGATCTTCCAGATTCCTTGTAGAAACTTTCTGCCACAAGCTCGATGTTACAAACAGATTCTGAAATAGACGAGTTCGTTTGTTGGGGTAGCAACAAAAGACAGTTGCCCCCAAAACGCGATGCAAACAGCTAGCTCCTGGAACTAGTGGATCCTAACCGGCACTTGATCTGCCGGTGACCGGATGACCTTTCGCATAGCCTGAGAGCCTGAGAGCGAATGGCACAAATAAGCTTCATGCCAAACAGCAAAATCTTCGCGGATTTGAACAGGAAAAAAATTTGGACCATTTCTCGATTTGTGCGTGTCATCCTTGCGCAGGGGCCATGCTAATCTTCTCTGTATCTTTCCAATTTTATCGAGTGTTCCGAAGAACGAAAAAGTTGTGAAGTCTAGCCATATAAACGCGGACAGAAAGCAGAAGATTGTGTGTGGGTCTTGGACAGGTACGCTATCGCAACCGTTCGTTGTTTTCTTCCTAGATTCTGCACCGTCGATGAAGTCACCGAGCAGCAGAGTTGAAACTTGAAAGAAGCTGCATGGGCACCGCGCTTTGCTGAGCCTGCAGGAGAAATGACTGCATGCAGAAGCATGAGAGAAGACAAATACGACAGGAACATCCGGTGGAAAGGACGGATGATTCAGGTAGCGCAGAGCGGGGAGAAAAAGATGGAACATTTAGTCTAACCGAAGGATACAAGCTCCTTCTTTTATGTCATAGTCGCGTGCTACCAAAGGTGTCACGCTAGTCTGGCTTCAACAGGCGTGGATGATTAGAGCCCCACAGTGTTCTAGCGGCTTCGGTTCTGCAGGCACAAGCATTGTAAGTCAATATCATGTCCTCGTATTTGTGAACAGCATTGATCACTGGATGCAGGTGGTTGCTCTCTCAAGGAGTCTGGGGTCCGCTGGAAGCCATAGCTTTCTTCCACTGCTGTGCGTTTATCACCGGCTGATCGATGGCGGTAGAGTCAGCCATTCAATGCTGTCTGCTGAGCAGGTCAACCGCCGGCGCACTCTTCCCGAACAGGGACACAGCTTTGAAACTAGCCACCCGCCCGCTCAACATCGCTCCGCCAGACCCACTGCTCCAGCAAAACCCATCTACAACCACTAGGAAACACTCCAGCTCTTCAAGCACTCGCCGACGGTGTCACCGAAGTACACATCTCCAGTGCAATGTGGCCCTATCGAGAGCTAAATGCAGTACCCAGGGGGTCAGATGTTTCAGCAGCCTGGGCTCAAACAACCTTTGTGGGGGGCTGATTGCCTTAAGAGGCCCTGTTTTTGGGGTGCCGGCAAGGCGAAAGCCCCGGGCAGTGACTGCGATGGCGGTGGCAGGGCCTCTTGTGGGGCCTGGAGCTGGCGCAACTCTGTGGGCCGTCTTGGCTGCGGCCGCTGCTGCGGGACAGGTAGATTTTCTCTTCTTTCTACAATCTGCAGAGAAGGCATCTGTTTGATAACGAGGTTGACAATGAAAAATCCTTATTCTGTGGGCCTAGATCAAATTAATCTGAGCGCCAATCAAACGTGTTGCCAGCCAACCGTGTTGCGGAACTGCACCCGATCCTTTCTCTGGAATGCCAGTCGGGGCGCCAAGAAGAAAGGTCCTCGAGTTTATGTCACAATGAGTTGCCCGTGGCATTTGCCCCTCCTTGTGGGGCCTGTGATCAGATCTTTCCTTGCTCAAACTAACCAAAAGATGAACGCGCCTGCCTTTGCTACCTCCGCTCAGCGCGCCAGTCAGGATGATGTAAGGCCGCCAGTCAGACGACGGATCAGAAGAGGAGACAATTACCTGCCAATAGGAAGGGAAGTCGACAGGCCGAGAAAGTTCATCAGTTCAGGTTTGATAAAGTACATAACGCTTTCACTCTCTCTGCACCAGGTCCTTGAGAACCGCACGAAATGGGGCGCCTCTGTCTCGGCCCCCTTGCTGACGATGGGCATCTCCATCGCCCTCTCTTGGTCAGGGATTATCCCCACTGCCTCCCCTACATTCGAACTAGTATGGTCCCAAATCATGCCGCTCGCGGTTTGCTTCTACCTGCTCGAGACGGACGTAAGGAAGGTGTTCAGGTATGGGACAGTGTTAGTTTGAGCTTGAAGTTTTGCATGGACGATATCACGTTCGCGACGGATATGCTTCTGTTCTTCAAAACTCAGTTGGTCAATCACGATGATGTTACTGTGTTGAGGTGAACCAGTTTGTTTCCCGCCGGGAAACTTGCTTCTGAGTGAAGGGCTTTCAGTTTCGGCAAGGACCTGGAGTAATATGAAACTTTTGAAACTCAAGCGACTCTCTTTTTCCGGATGGAACACACTACTTTGCTTGAAGATGAAACACAGGCTCATCCTAAACGAAAATATACTTATCTTTGAGATTGAGTCGAGTCTTAATCGTCAAACGCCAGTTTTAAGCTCCTGTGGTGTAAGCTCCTGTGGTGTATCAAGGGGACACCACAGGAGCTTACACGTCAAATGTTCATGGGTCCTTTCGAAGCCTGGCAGCCCTCAAAGTCTACAACTAGGCGTTCCAGCAGTGTCTGTAAACTCGTCCTCTCAACTCCTCCCCCGACTGGACCAGTGGAAGTGGCTAAAATCCCCTATGCACCACATCCAATCCGCTCTTTGATGTAGAAACTTCTGTACGTAGCCCCCTCCTCACCCCACAGCACCTGAAATCCGCTAAGCTTCCCAGCGATGCAGGCACGACCTTCAAGGCGTTCGTCATCGGCGCCTTGGGGACGGTCTTAGGGACCATTATCGCTTTTGCATGCGTTGGGCGGTGGATGGGTCCTGACGGCTGGAAGATGGCGGCGTGCCTCTGCGCAAGCTATGTTGGCGGGTCGATCAACTACGCAGCCACGGCACAGGCGCTGGGAGTCGCTTCAGGCGCCTCTTTAGCAGCTGGTAAGTATGGGAAGAAGATCTTCCGAGGGTGACGCACTGTTTGTTGAGTTTTGCGGATGTGGCCTCTGAGTGGAGTTTTTTGTGTTGAGCTACGTGGGGGAGTCCGATCATACTGAGCCGCCGCGGCGCAGGCGCTGGGAGTCGCTTCGGGAGCCTCTTTAGCAGCTGGTAAGGAGCAATGATTCTTCGAGGGTACTTTTGTATTTCTTCGGGGTTTGGGGACGTGGCTTTGCGCAAAAACATTATGTACGAGGCACGGGCAGGAGCAAGTCAACCACGCAGCCACAGCTCCCAGGCATTGGGGATCGCTTCAGGAGCCTCTTAGCCTCTGGCGAGGCGAGTACAGCAACTTTGCAGCGTGACAAATTCCTTACTGGGGGCTTACTGAAAGGGATTACGGGACGGAGATACTTGTGTTCGAGGCACCAGGGTCCATTCACATTGCGGCCATGGCGCAGGTGCTTGCGGTTGCTTCAAGGACGTTTTCAGGAGCTGGTAAATATTGTTTCTTTTCGGTGGTGTATTCTCAGGATTTCTTGAGGATGTTTTGCATCGGCGGTTCAGAGCCCAATCACGTGAGCGGGATCCGATTAACTAAGCCGCCAAGGAGCAGGTCTTAGGAGTGGGTTCGAGGGCCTCTTTGACGGCTAGGTTTGCACTCTTATTTCTCTGGGGGCAAGGCTGCGGGTGATTGGGGGATCGGTGAAACGGCCTTGTTATGTTCGGGGGCTGTTCGAATGACCGGCGGCTATGACGAAGGCGTTCCGAGTTGGTTCCGGGCCGTTTTTGGCAGCAGTGGGTCAACAGAATGTTTCGACGTCGATAGTGGACGACCATGAAGCGAGAGCCTTGATTCAGCCTCTTCAATCCCAAATCCTCGTCAGGTCATTTTCGTAAACCTGGGCATGCTGCCAACGCTACTTATTGCTCGTTATTGTTCCCTTTCGACTACGTCAATTTTGCAGCCGAGAATAGACCTCTCCTCGCGGGAGCCTGTCCTTGCCCCCGTTCGTTAACCTTTCTCTTTCGTTACTTCAGGTATGGCTGCCGACAACCTCGCGATGGCCGCGTACTTTGGAGTGCTCATGAGCTGGCCCACAGGAACAGATGGACAGCAAGACGACGATAAAAACGCAAGAAGGGCACAGTTCGAAAAGTCTGTACAATCCGAAAGAGCGTTCGGCGGAGAGTTGTTTGCCGCAGTGAACCAAACAGCTGTGTCGCTGAAAGAAAGACAATTGAACACATCAACGGACCAGAATGACGGTGACGTGGCATCTTCTGGACGGGACGGTGAGAACGGGCTCGTAGATGATAGTGGGCGCAGTTTGGGCAGGCTGCAGAGAGCGTATTCACAGCGGGTTTCGATCAGCGACGAAGCAGAAACACGCAGCCGGGCCGAACCGAGCGGACGGTTTTTGAGAAGCAGCGAAAGCGGAGTCGCTACCGAAGAGGTTCGAAGGTTTGGGGATGGGGGCTCAGTAAGTGGCACGGAACTAGCGGAGCGAAGCATTTCAGGCCGGAACGCAGGATCTAGCGGAAACGGAGCCGGAAACGGAACAACATACGAAACGGGATACGAAACGAGAAGCGAAAGAACGAACGGTGTGGGGTACGAAGAGGGAAAGGCTTATGGACACGGAAACGACGGCGGAAACGGAAACGGAAACGGAAATGGAAACGGAGCGGAACGGCTTCGGGAGAACGTCCAGTTGTCTGGGACCGGCGAAATTGGTGGCGAGATGGGCGATAGCGATGAACAGCACGCGCGCCCAAGTACTGAGGAAGAGCGCGCGCGCCCGAGCGCGGAAAGTGTGTCGTTGTCGTTGGCGGCGGCTGCGGGGTCGTGTTGCCTGGGCCAGGCGCTAGCGAGCGCCTTGCCACCGGCGTTTGCGGGTGAGAAAACGAAGACTGCTCCAAAGTTCGTGAATCGTTTCTGCGTTTGACTTGAGCATCGTTGTCGAGGCTGTCCAAGAAGGCCGGAGGTATGCTTTGGATTGCAGGACCCGCTAGTTGGACACGCCAGAGAGCGGAACTTGTGGTTGATCTGCAACTTGAGTGCGAGTACTAGCTTGAAACCCGGAATGGTAAAAGCTGGCTGGTTGAACTGAGTGAGTTTGGGAGGCTTGGGTTGCGTGTACGAGGTATTGGAGTGTTATAAGGCAGACTTTTTATGATTGGGCCCAAATAGCAACATGAGAATAATAAGAGCTCATGTGTCATAGTGCGTTACATGGAGCGTCGATGGCCGGACTCAAACGCTGGGCGTTTATGTCCGACAGGGAATGGTTTAATCAGGACTATAGTCAATTGTCAAAGAGAAAGGCAAGTAGACAAGAGAGGGAGGGCTGTCAACTCCCTCCTTTGTCAATGCACCACCCTCTCTCTTAACTGATTGCTTTGCTATCACATGTGCATGCTGAATTGCTTTGGGGACAGGACGGCAGAGCGGATAATCTCGTGCCGTATAAAACGAGAAGATGCATATGCTAGCACAAGATTGGAATGCTTGTATCATGTATCTAGCTTGTGCTACTTTATAGTCTACACCGACATTAGCCAGGCTCTCGTCACTAATTCCAATGGCAGTTGTACGGCTTTGGAAGGTAACGTCACCCTGTGAAAAGGACTCGCCGTGACATTACTCCTTCCAATCAGCAGGTTACGTCACCTGACTGTCTGCTTACAACTGGGTGACGTTACCCTTTGAGCTCACATTTGGTACATTTGATTTTCAGGAAGCACACTAGACGTCGGTGTAGCAATACCAAACCGTCAAGCGTAATGACTTCTATGCGGGGTTTGCACAGTTCAAACCCGGCCACCGACACCTGTCCTCCTTTTCTCCACGAAGGCTAAACTTTTTGCAGGGCTTTTGGCCCTTCAAACGGCGGCCTCGTTACCGTTGGTTTCAAGACTCGATGCCCGCCTGACAAAGAGCGACTGATGATTCTTGACTCCTGGTTCCGGAGACGTTACTTGCCTCCTCCATCAACCGCCGGCAGTCCACATGCCTTCGGCCAGTCAGCTTTTGAAGACTGCACGATTTTATCTTTCCGCTTGACAGACTACGCTCTTCAATAAGGTACCGCCTCGTATGCAGGTACGGAGCTGGCGCTTATGGCCGTCATCGCGTCGCTTATATCTGTCACTGTGGGTCAATTGACGTCAGGGGGAAGGGACTCGGGGCCGCACATTGCGGCGTTTGCGGGCGCGGAGATGATCGGCGGCGCGCTGATGCAGGTCTTCTTTGCCGTGGTACGTCTTTTTCTTCTTTCGACAATCACAAAGGGGTAAACTTGGGACGCAAGATTGTTCGGTAAAGGTTCCAGACAAGGATCCACTTTGGAGAAATACCTGATCTGTACGTAGTCAAAATCCGAGCACAGGTCGCTGCATTACAACCCAGAAGTTACCGATTGAACACTCAGAATGGGACTCTTCTCACGTTGTTCTTTTCAGGTAAAAACAGCAGGCAATTGTCGCATATGTGAAGTAATAAGCCGCTCTGATGACAACGACCCCGGATCGTTGTTGGTTATTTGCCCTTCTACCAAGGAGATGGGGTTCATCCCAGGATCAATGCCCTTCAACCAGTTGTGGTTAAGAGCAAAAGCTTTCTATGCACTGTGAGGGCGCTACCGCTACAAAAGAGATGAGTTTCTGAAAGAATGTGATCTGGAAGTACATTATCGCCCTCGGCACCATCCTCTCAAGAACTTTTGGCTCTACATTTGCCTCAACCATAACGCAGGTTGGAGCAACGGCAAGCCTTCAGGAGGCCATCAACGGCGGCTGGCCGCTGCTCATCTTCATCCTCGTGCTGCTGGCCGTCCACGTGGCATTCATCGCCGTCCTCGGCTCTAAGGTCTTCAAGTTGCCGATCCGTTCCGTGTTGATTGCGTCGAACGCAAACGTGGGCGGTCCGGCGACCGCGGCCGCCATGGCGTCGGCCAAAGGGTGGCCAGACCTGGTGAGAATCGGCACACCCGCTTGTGGACAATCGAAAACTCACTTTCTGCTCGTTGTACTCGTGGCTTGGGTTACCTTTCATTGCGCGGTAATACCGTCGCGGCCAAAAGGTGGTCGAATTGGTGAGGTTGAAGAACAGGAATGAGGATGCTGATGTAGCGCAATAGTCAGTTGCCCTCACCTGCATTCTCAATTTTGAATCTGCTTCTGATCGCATATGGACGAGGATGGTCAAAGGCGGGCAATGACGCAATCAGTTTCCGGACGGATAGCCGAGAGGGTGGGAAACTCGGCTTCGTTCGTTGTTGACATTATTAACTGGCAACTTTGGCCAGCCGGTCAACTAAAAGCTTCTTTTAGTTCAGGAGAACAGAAGAAACATAGCCCGAATTGTCGGAGCCTGTCGTTTACCAACTGACTCAGGCACTGTCCGGCGAGAAGTATTTCCGAAGGTCACGCATAGATTCGTCTGCACTCTCAACGAATCTGACCATTTACGTCTGATTCTGACTTCTAATTCCAAGTACTGGCGTGACTTTCGGCTGTTGGAAGTTGCCTCGATACGGTCACGTCTGACCGGAACTCCTCGTCTAGCATCCGTGAGTAAGGTATCGGCGAGCCAAAGTCCACAGTCTCGCAGCAGTATGTGGACGGTGTAACCCATCCAAGCTTAGTACATTTCAATCGCAATCGGACTGTCGCAAAGTGTTTGACCATGGCGCCACCCAAGACACAGGGGTGGTCAGTCTTCGGTCTGACCATTCCGGTCTGCTGTCTGACCATTCCGGTCTGCTGGTCGCTTCCAGGTGCGAGGAGCTTTGCTGACCGGAACGCTCGGCTACACCGTTGGCACTGCTATCGGCTGCCTGGTCGGGACTCTCCTCCGGGTCATGTGATAGTGAAGGCCTTCACGGGTCAGCCCAGAAGGGAGCACTCAGGGAACCCCCGGCAAATGTTCCCAGAGCTTTACTTAGTTTATCAATAATGCGTACGAGATCTGATTTATAGCACTTCCTATATGGCCCTCTATCTATAGGACAATTACTTTTTGCACGCTTTGTTATCGCAGACTTACGCGATAGGTTGAATTGGAAACGTATTGATGTGGGTTGACGTTGCTTTCGTGCGCGCCGGCTGCTGTGTGCTCAATGCAAGGAGGTCGAAGGCAGCTCTCATCAGAGGGTCGCAGCTTTGGTCGCGTATATGAAGCCTACTGAGGCCCTTGATGTGTGCTTGAAGCCCGAGTTAGCGTGCGATCTATGTCTTCTTGCAGCATACGAAAAGCTCGTCAAGAATGACTCGGTGGCAACTTAAGTCCAAGAAATCAAGCATGCTGATGATGTTTAGGCGTCTTGGGTGCTTATGGTGCTAGGACCATGCGTTGGGTAGCAAGCGACCATTATGCACGCATTTCATGTTTTGAAACTTGTCAGGACAGGATATCTCACGGCCTCCACTCAAATTTGATCAATCAGAATTTAGCGGGATTGCTTGATCTCATGGAGCTCCTCCGCATGGGGCCAGCGTCGTTCAAGGGCTCCCTGTTCAAGGCCGATTCATCTGAAAAGACGTACGTCCAATTGAATGGAGAAATGTTTTTTCTAGGCCCCATTGCGGCTATAATTGAATAAAGTGAAATACATACGAATCTTCAAATCCTGACAATGGTCATGCCGGCTCCGGCCCCATCATCATGCCATGCACATTGCACCATCTTGGGACAAGCTAGCCATATGTTGGCATGCTATGCAGACTGAACTGCGGGCGAGACTGTCACTCAACACTGCGAGTCGTGACAGTGGGCCATGCACCTTGGTCAGTAGCCGCCTGGCTCTGACTTAATTGTAGCCTGTGAGCCCCCGGCGCCGGTCTGGCTGCGCGTGCCGCGGCGATTACTACGCCGCGGACTTCGCGCGGCCGCGCCGCCAAGGTGACGTTATTGCGGCAGGCGTTGGCCTGAATCACGCGCGCACGCTCGCGTTAAACTTGTTATATGGAGCAAACCCTAATTTCGTCCCTTGGCTCCAGCTTGGCTTGTTAAGGTACTCTGAGCAAAGCTTTCATCTGCTGTGGAATGGTTCTGACGGCCCAGAAGTTTCCGATTCCCCCAAGTTCATGTGACACAGAGAAGCAATCTGTGCAAGCAATTGGGGGCCAAAATGCTGTTCACACGTTTTGGTTTCTTTGGTTGGAGGGATCCTTGTGTCAGAGGAAGAGGGCAAGTCCCTACGAAGCGAAGGCAATGATACGAACATAGCGAAGTGATGCTTTGAATGTATATCAGTAGCCTGCCCAAAGGTCACGCTGAATTCAAGACAGTACTCAATGAAAAGGAAAAACAACCAAGCGGAATGTGGTGTGAGGGTCGTTGTATGGAGCAATAGAGAAGCCTAACACCATGGTTGAGGAAGCAGAGGGCAAACGGGAGGACCATTCTGAAGACATCTTTGATGGCATTCAGGTGAGAGTTGATGGGCTGGAAGTGCTGGGGTCGGTTTGAAGTAAAAGGGGCATGGCACGATCCACAGAGGACATGTAACCTTGAGCAGTCAAGGGCTTAGAATGACTTGATGATGTACCCTGACTCCTCGACTTCGAGGAGATGTCGTACTTTGTACTGAAAACTTTGTTTCACATCTGTTTCATATCATCAATTGCAGTCGAGTTCAACAGCTGTAGGCTTATGGCTACTCTTCATAAGCCTCTGTGCAACTCATGTTGCTCATTGTTGCTAGAAATGTGTAGCTTGCCAAATGTCATGTTAGGCTTACCAGATTTTAAGATGTTCTTAGAGGTGACAAGGGGCAGCAAAGATGCGAAGCTGTATTCCCAGTCCAGCGTAGTCTGGCAGGGACTTGATGTCAGAAGCGGATGAGCTTCAGCAATTTACCAGCCCCAGGCATGCTTCCAGTCATGGCCCCATTGCAATCAAGCCCCATGCTGGCCGAGCCATCAATTGTGTGCGTCCTGCTCCTCTAGTTGGTATGTAGACTTGCATTTGAAAAGGCTAGTACTGAGAAGTGGGTTAGATCTCAATCAGCAAATGGTTCAACTGCTTTAACGGCCAGATTGGGCCACTAGTTGACATTTTACCTATTCATCAAGATGTGAAAGGATTCCTTGCTCACAGAGCCAAGAAGACAGCCAGTCAGCTTTCGAGCCTGACATCTGGTGTGGCCCTATGAGCTGGGTTCTTTGATCAGGTTTGTCTTACATGTGGTGTCTAGCTCCATCAGACACCTGCAAAGAGGACACACATTCCCAATCAAAACTATGAGCTTTTCTGGACAATGAAGATGCAGAATATGCATCCGCTTCTTATCTTCTGTCAGGAGGATGATGGCGCAAGCGATGATGAGACAGACAGCTTCAAAGCAGCCTCGGAACAAGCATACAAGCAGCACCTAGAGGAACAAAGCCGGCGACAGGTAAGAAGAGCTCCCAAAAGGGTTCGACTGATAAGTTCAAGGTGGGAATAGTCAAGAGAAAGGTTACCATTTGGCTTTTCCAAGATTTCCTGGAGAACAAGAAATAAAACAGCACTGGGTGATACTGTTTTCCAGGTTGTGGGGACTTCCATGATTGAAAATGGCTCTTAAGGATGAGTAGCAGACAGTCGACCATCCTAGCTTAAGCAGAGCTTGATCATGATTGTTGAACTGGCTCGAGAGAACAGGTAAGAGAGTGTTCTTGCAGGCAGCTCTCGTGAGAAGTACTGAATCCTAGCCCGACCCGATCAGGTTGCGAGGGAGTTGAGATTGCCGGGTGCATGTCAAGTCCCAAAGTGGAGATAAAGCTGCCCAAAGTGGTACAGGCACGGATCAGGCTTATTCTCGAGTGATAGGCCCTGTATTCCCTGACTCCGGATCTCTTTCCTGTTTCTTTTTCCAGAGTCTACGACCTCGAACAGCTCCAACAAGGCCTCAAACCCCGAGCAGTGCAGACAGAAAGCGGAGAGCTGTTGAGCAACAGGACGAACGTTTCAGGGTAAGTCCCAAACGCTCTTGTCGGGAGGACAACAAGTGAAGGCAAGTCAAGAACGACAGCGAAAGCGTGCTGTCACGAGTAGATTGCCGACAGTAGAGTTATGTTAGCTGTCTCCAACCGAATCAAAGAGGAAGGGAAGGTGAGACCTCGATGTGAAGTCGATGGGAGCGAACACCTCCTTGAGTGCGGTTCGAAGCTGGATATCTTGACTGACCGGTGTGGTTCAAGCAAGGGAGCTGAAGTCGCGCTTGGTAAGCGAGGGACTTCGATTACATTTGGGCTCATTGCAATCCCTGGTCAATCGTGTTACTGAAATATGGGAAGATTCGGAGAGACGTTGTCAGACAAGGCTGCCGATATTTCGCCTATTGACAATGCTTGATATGCGACCTTTGACGAACTTCACCAGAACATACTTCGTACAATGGAGAGTCAATACCCTTCCTCCATCAGCAGCCAACAAGGAAGTTTCTTCCGACGGGAAATGTCCTCCAGACGGGCTGAGGGACTCTTCAGAAAAGCTGGAAACAAGTCAGGAAGCTCGAGCAAGTTTTTCCAATTCACTGCAGTTCCGTCCTGAGACACCCCGTGTCGATTACGTCCCCCCCCGGCGGCCAATCACCGGGCCGGAGATCGACCACGCCGCCTGGGGCTTCTGGCTGAGCCCCGGGTGCTCGTACACTCAGCTTATGGGGCCCATAAGCAACCGGCCGGCGACCGCTTATGCCCCTCGAAAAGTCACGGAGTCTCTGGATTGGCGGGATGTTGTGGGGAGGCAAGACAAGGGACGGCAGCCGTGGCAGGACGTGAAGCCGTGCGATGTAAACGGAGCGTCAAAGGTACGACACTTGTTTTGCTCATGTTCTGTCACTAAGGTGTAAGTTCGCTCCTTAACCTTCGCAATGAATAACGAAGTCGGTTGCCGATCTGGGCACGGTGCTCGTGAAAGGCTCCGAATCGCCCCTTTTCTTCTGGTCGTGCGACGAAGGTGCAGCAGGGTTTGTCAACAGCTTAACCGTGTATGAAGCTTGGTAGTCGTGTTTGTCTTTGATCAGCAGGTTTTGCAATGTCCCGGAGAAGATGGTCGCAACTGTTGACAATCTGTGCAGGATGTCAAGTATTTGTGTAGTCAGCTGATTGTGTTCGATGCGGGACGTCTTTCAGAGTGCTTATACGGTACGTGCTTCATTCTCGGGAGCGTGTGTTCGGCTGCCGAAGGGCTTTCATGGAGCAGCGCTGGTGTGTGGAATTGGATGAAACAGAAAAAGAGCGCGTTTTATTACATGCCACCGCCAGCCGTGAATGCCAAACGCGTCTGCAAAAGCCGGCATAAGTGGGTGTTCGGAGATTGGCGCAAAGAAGGCCGCTGACGTCGGGACACGGAGGCGTCATGACGTCATCACTTTCCTCCCTCATTCAGGATGCGAATCATCGGCAGCCGTACGGAGAGGAGCCGCAGTTTGCAGCAGCGGCAACCCCCCGTCAGACGACGTCCCCTTACCTGTCTGGTCCCAAGTATCTGCGACGGCCTTTCTCCGCGTCCGTTGCGGATAAACGGTACGATCACGCTTCCCTCATCTTAATTTTACGCCCGATGCATTTCAAGTTGTTTCTTGTCGGAGGCTGGCACTTCTGTTGCGCATCAACCTCACCTTCTCGAAGCGGAACCCTTGGAAAGTCGTGGCTTCGCGGCTCTAGATTCTCCGCGTTGACTCCAAGTATTTCGTGTTCGGCTAAGGGGAGCTTACATGGGAAGGAGCTGAAAGGATGCTCGAAGAGCTTTGCAAAGTCTAGAACGCATTGGATCATTGGACAGCACCGTTGGAAGAGTCGGTTGGATTGCGGGAGCTGGCGTTGCAAAAGATGTTTCTTATTTGACCGAGCAAAAACGTCAGGGCTCGCCCTTATAGTTATGAACCGGAATCAGATTGCTCATCTGGAAGCACTTTGAGTTAGTCAGCATAACTTTTTACGAATCAGCAGACGAGAGGTCAGAAGGGCAAAGCCCCTACAGGAAGTTTCGTCAAGACTGACTTTCTTCACGATTCAATTGCAGACGGAAAATGCAGAATAAAGGGTCCCCCTCGGCAGCCGTCCGGGAGAGCCCACTGCGGCGGCGGAAAGAGTCCGCCGGAATGCGGATAGACAACCCAACCGAACGGAGCGGAGCGGAACGGAACCCCGAGGTCCAGAACCCTACTGACCGTGCGGCTCAGCCGCCTGGAGGCGCGGAGCCAAACCGTCTGTCCGGCAATCCGGCATGCGACTCGGACGCTCGAGCGGACTGCAACCCACCAGCGGAATCCGCTGCTCCGGACTCCGGTCCTGCGAGCGGATCCCCTCATCGAGCCGCGCGCCACATCCCGTTCATGGCTTCTATCGAAGAGCGGCTGCAGAGTATGAGCATTGCTGCCTCAAGCCCGGGCGCTCAAACCTCCAAACCTGTTTCTCCGGACACGCAAAGCGCCAGACCTTTGGTTCCGGACGTCCAAACCCCCTCCAGACCGGTTGAGTCTCAGTCCCCGGCCGAGTTGACCAATAGTCAGGCGCCACGTGTCGATGGGCCAGCTCATGGAAACGCAAACGAGGGCGTCGAGATGGACGGTCAAAACCTGGACGTACGGATTCCGCCCACCGCAGATATCGTTCCGCCCACCGCAAATTCCGTCCGTTCCGACAATTCAAGCCCAGACTCGAATCCACGCCTGGAAACGGAGGCAGAGACCTGCGCTCTCCCGGCCTCCTTTCCGGCGCGGCCTTTCACTGCGGGCGTCGCGCGCCGCGGCTCGAGCGACCTAAACCCTCCAAACCACTCGCGGCCCGCGACGGCGCCCGTCAAGCCCTGCGTTCCGTCCCTGTCCGAGTCGTTCAGCAGAATGGGTCTCGGGAACGCGGCCCCGGAAAGCGGCGCCGTCAGCGGCCGGTCGGACCTGTACCGGAATCCGCTGTCGAGCCGGAGTTCTGCCGGAAAGGCGCCCTCGGCGTACACGCGGCGGGTCATGGCGCCCCCGCAGTTCGTGCAGCTGACGCCGTGGGACGCCAATATCGTCGAGGACGTGCTCGAAAAGGTACGTACCGGGCTGAGTTTCGTTATCCTCTCAGCTTGCCTTCTCTTATACTCTCAGCTTGACTTGTGTAATCCTCTCAGCTTGATTCTGTCATCCTCTCAGCTTGATGTATTACAAGAAATCAGGCTCCCCTTTATCTGTGAAATCTTTCGGAAGGGTCAGATCCTGGAAGGGACTCGACCCTCATTTTCAACCAGAGTATTGCTCTTGTCTTGTCTTCGCGTCCTCAGTCTCTGTCCGTCTACATGCCATCTATACCCGGTCAAAAACTCAGCGCTCCCACAATCTCATGAAAGACTGGAGTCATACAGCCCGGTACGAGAACAACTTGCTGGCCTATTCGCCCGGTAACCTTTGCATGCAGGACGACCACGAGAAAGGTCGGTCGGCGTAGTCTGAGCAGGCCTTGCTCTGAGGCACTCCCCTTAGAACACTACGAAGCCTGGTCAAGCGGCAGGCGCTTTGATCCTGATCTGGATCCCGCTGTCTTTTGAAGCATCGTAGTTATGCCTGCGCTTAAGAGCAGCAGCCATCACCAAGTTTGGCAAAGAAGCGGCTCGTCTCTGGAAGAAAACCCTCACTATCTGACAGCGCAGGCCTCGTTAAATGACAGGTTCGACATTACGGACAACTTCCTCACAGCTGACGGGAACCCATACGCAAGGGACAGTCCATACCAACTTCCAGTAAACTGTAGATCAGCCTCAAGTACCTTGAATTGACTCTGCCCCCTCTACATGATTCTAACTTCTTCTGGGCGAGCAGGGACCGGGGCAAGTGGGGCACGTACCCGAGGAGCGGGGCATCGTCGAGGGGGTAGCCGGGGCGGGTATGCCGGCACAGTTCCGTTTTGGGGACGGTCGGTTGTGGATGTTGGGCAGCATGTTGTGGGCGACGCCTTGCGGCACGGAACCTGGGCCCAACCGGTGGAAGAACCACTAAAAGTTGGCTTCCCCTCCCCGCAGGTGACGGAGGCCAACAAGCTGTCCCGCGCCATAGGCCTATCGGTGCGCTACAACATGTTCCAGAACGGCAAGAAGGACGTGTGGGTCGAAGTGTACGAAGCGCGTACGCTCGTGAAGCACAAAGGATCGGACACGTCATCGCTCGAGCGGCGAGAGTGGCGCGAGACGATTGAGGACCCCGCGGAGGCGGCCGCGCAGTCGGCCACGCGAAACCCCGACGCCGGGGACCCCGGTGAGCGCCCGCGCGCGCGCGCCTCTCCGCCCCTCCGTAACCGTATTTTCATGTCATGATTGAAGTTTCTAAACCCTGAAGTTTCTAAACTCCCAGTTGTGTTTCCTTGCTTCGCCGCGCGCCTCTTTTGAAGCTTTGTCTTTCCCAGCTTTCCAACAGATCCTCTTCTCTTCCTGAGTTTCCTTCAAAGGATGCAATAACACCTGTTCGCAGACACAAGCTGGCCCATGCGCTTTTCATGCACAAAGATCTTCTCTTATCTGACACCTACCACCGAATGAAGCATGAGACCTCCAGTCAAGAAAGGGTAAAGTGATTGAACCCGCTGACTAGTCACTTAACCACCGTATTCTTACGACAGCGGACGAGTTCCGCGGCTCGAAACTGCGCGACGTTTCTGTGGACGTATTCCTCCGGACGCACCGGCGGCTGCAGAAGGCTGCGACGGACGCCCGGTTCCGGGGGTTCCTCTCCCTGGCGGAACCGGAACCGGAAGGCAAGCCGTGGGAGCGGCACGAGAAGGACGGGGAAGGGAAGAAAGAGCTCTGGGAAGAGCTTGGGGTCAACGAAGGCTTTGCGAAAATCTTGACAAAAGCGCGCGAGCAAGTGATCCAGAATAAGCACAGCATAGCGAGTTCTGGACGGGACACCGCGGTTCGCGGGCGGCTGATTGGGTCTACGGCGGGGCTTATAGAGATCACAAATCCATTACTGAAGGGCCCGCGCGCGCTTTACGATCAGTCTAAGACGAGCACGAATGTTGCAAAAGCCATGGGCACGTTCTCAGCGTTTGGGCTCGCAATGGCACAGCGCGACGACATGGGGCGAACAACAGCGGCAACGAACAAGTAACTTATGTCCAAGCTGGCTGTGACATATTGTCTTTAAGACTCGGCTTGACTGCGTTTGCTCTGCACTCTCAAGAGTACAATTCCGTAAGCCATCCTTAGTAGCCACTATAACGGCTCTCTCCCACGGTCACAGAGTTCTCGCTGCAGTCCGGATAACTTCATACTCGGTCGATGGTGCATTGATCCTTAGCCGTGGCTAGAGTTCGCTTGCGAATTTGTGCACCGGCCGGGCGGCCAGCAAGCCCTATGTTTGTTAAATGCTGACATAAACGGACGGAGGTTCGACACTTCTATAGTCCATTAATCAGCTTTGCGCGTCCTCATGCAGGTCAGATCCAGCATGAATACGTGCAGGTCGACTGTGTTCGCCCTCTTTTCCTTCTCGCAAGTGAGCGCTGAAATGTTTTGCGGGTTCACCTTGTGTCGCACTCGACCATGTACGTAAGAGCCAAAGTCTGGATTGTATAGGTTAGAGATCGTCAAGCTCTCGTGCGATGTTTAACCATATCGTCCCGGCCGTACTTTCTCTATCAAAGACGTACATGGACCATGTCGAACACTAAAGGATTTAGTAGACTCTTTCAGCAGTCCGACAGAAAGCATGCTGCTTCGGAGCCGGCGGGCCGGAACCCTTCGCTACCGTCGATTGATAGAGGGAGCCCCCAACTTCAAACCCTCTGAATCGTCCGATTGCTATCGCATCAATGGCTCCCCGGCAACCGCAGATGCCGACCCTAAACTTCGTTGGCGACGTGTTCGGGCATTTCGCCTGAGTGCGTCGCCCATCAAAGCAACTTTCTCATTGACCACTGTAGAGCTTTTCGGTCCACAAACTTCTTTTTGTGTCCAAAACTTGATCCACTCCAAGTCGTGAGTTGGCATCAGTCAAAGATTTTCAGCCGCTTTTGACTCGTGATCAGCTGAAAAGGTCACATTGAATGAGGGCCGTGCATAATGCATGGTGGCGGAAAGTGGATTTTCAGCTAGTTCGTAGTCAAGGTTGAGAATATCGTATAAGTTATGTAGCTATACAACTTTAATTCAGCAAAAGTCGCCCAGGCCCAGGGCCACAACTTACTAATACAACCCAGGGCCAGGGCCATTGAGTAGCAAGGATCAGTCTTCCAGCTAATGTACTGCTTGCAGCCACAAAGTAGATACCCTTCTATGAGCAAAAATTCACAAGATCCACAAGGTGGTGTGATTGCTTGAAAAGACCTCTTCCACGCCAATCATCACCCTTCTTCCCCTAAAACACGTTCCAAGCAGGCATCAGTCGATACCTGCTACCACCTCTTGCACAAGCTATGGCTCCCAGAGCTGCTGAGCTGTTCTCACTCAAGGGCAAGACTGCCTTTGTGACGGGCGCCTCTCAGGGGCTTGGCCGCAGGTTTGCAATCTGGCTGGCAGCCGAGGGGGCCAACGTTGTGCTGGCGGCGCGCAATGTGGCCAACCTTGAACAAGTCGCTGCGGAGATTGAGACCGAGGGGGGCTCCGCCAAAGTGGTGAGAAAGGGGTTCCCTTGCGATCCAGATGCTGTCCCTTCCAGCATTCTTCAAATGGATACAGATCTGAGGAAACGTGTCACAGTGGTGCAAATCCACTTTTTTGAAGTCCTACACATTGATACCATTGGTTTGTTTGGTCATGCTCATTGCATTGTTTGACTCATTCTGATCCCATTGCTCGCGAATACGATTTTGCATGATCTATCATTTAGCCCATGCAATGGTGAATCAGTTCCTCTGCATTGTACGCTAGCTTTCCGCATGTTGGCGGACCCATTTGCCACCAGGCTTCTTTGAACTGAGCGAAGGAGAGCTCCCTTCATTCTGCTTGAACCAGGAGGTTTCAATACTTAGCTCATTGCCGCTCAACTGTATGACAGCCCTTCAGCACAACTAAGAGATGCTTTCAAGGAACTTTGAGCTGGCAAGCCTATCATAGAGGGGCCAGATTTGTCAAGAAGGTGCTTCTTGCAGAGCATCAATGTATCCTCTTCACGATGCATGCGATATGAGTCTCAGAACCATTTGAACCCTGACAGAACCAGTGGAAGGAGAACGTGGGCTCCAGTTTCTATCCTCGACCCCCACACTGGTTGGTATCCCTATGCGCGAGCAGCTGGAGGCTAGGCCGCCGCGGCACTTGCCATGAGTCGTGACTCACACGTAGCCGATGGTAACGTCGTAACCTTGTTTACCTGCTCTCGACCGGCCGATTGAATCCAAACCGAGGGCTCAAATAGAAGGTACATGGACATAGTTCCGCGTCCCCGGGCATGCGACCAAGAGACCGGGTGAGGATGATTGTAACCAGTCATCTCATACCAAGCAGTGTGGGGGTCCAGAACGAAAACTGGAGTCCACGTTCTCCTTCCATGGGTTCTGACAGCAAAAGGGAGAGGCCTGGTCTATTGTAGCTCATCAGCGCGTAAATCACGGGTACTTATCAGGGCTCTCATTGCTTCAATGACTGGGAATCTTACTCTGTTGAGCCTGCCATTTGACAGAACATTACTGCCGCTAAACGGAAAGACAATAATCAGGGATTCTGTCAACTGATATCAGTTTTCTGCAGGTTAGATTCATTATTTTAAATGAAAAAAGTTGAGAGCCCATCTGCAGTCTTTCCAACCACTGAGATTGCTGTATAGATCTTGCAATGAAGGGAAGGGATCACAAACTTGATGCAAATTCTAGCAAGAGCTATCAAACTGTCTTTTTCTGTACTACTACGACCAGGAATGAGATGCTAGGGACCTGACCATTTCTGAACGGTTGAAGCGCTTGCCACCAGTCTGGACAGATGTCCGGTTGCAACGCCTTCATCAAGCGTCGCGAAATCCAGTTTTGCCGCCCTCAGATATCTCTTAAAGTAATCTTGCTGTCAAAAGAGTACCTCGAGGGGTATTCCGATATCGCGATCAATCAAAAAGGTCTAGATTGGACGTTTGCTCCGCAGCAACATCTGCCATTTATGATCGAAGAAACCCCACCTGCTCAGATGGGCATCCACTTTGAGACTCTCAATTCTCTTAGTTTTCCTGAATGCAACACCCGTCTCCTTGATCCGATCATCGACGAGGAGCTCTCACTCGCTACTTGAAATTGCTTCAAAGTAGATGTTGTACAAGACTTCCATCGGGTCTCTTGTTTTCATTTGCCCGCTGATCCTTCCAAGCTGACGGTCAGACGTTCAGGTGCGTCACGCGCAGAGATTGTGTCTATTCATCAGTTAATCGCCTCACATTCTAACTCCCTTATCAAAACATCTTACGTACGGTAGTTCTTCTCTTGCCGCTGGACCTCTATAACCCTCTAGCTAATGGAGGGTAAAGCTCCTCCTTGCTTACAACAATCTCACCATCTTATACTCGAATCAAGCTCGTCAGCTTACAACATGCTTGAAGAATGGAAGAAGAGAAGAGAAAACGAAAGAAATGGCTTGAGAAATAGATTTAACGCAGACCTGAAGAAGACGAATTGTTTGAAAAGTGGGCTTGCCTTTTGTGCGCAGGTTCTCCTCAATCTCGTCGAAGACGAGCAGAGTCTTTCGCCGTTCAAACATTCCCTTCTGACCTTTGATACTATCCACAGATGAGCACCCGACTCGGTTACCTTAACCCGCTTTTTGCTCCCCGCAGGTTCCACTCGACCAAAGACGACAGCACGCTCTCTGCGGTTGAGACAGCCTGGAACGCCTTTGAGGGCGGGGTCGATATCGTGGTTAACAACTCGGGCATCGGCAATCTCGGGCCGTGTCTCGACTTGACCACTGAGGCGTTTGACGAGGTTATGAACATTAATCTGCGCGGCGCGTTTGTGGTTAGCCGCGAATTCGCGAAGCGGATGGTCGCGGCCGGCAAGCGCGGCTCGATCATTAACGTGTCGTCCGCAGCCGGGGACGGGGCGCTGATGTGGGGAGTGCCGTACTGCGCCTCGAAGGTACTTTCAGAACTTCACAACGTTTGTGTTTTGAGGTTCTGAGATATGGTTATTCCGAGGTGTTAAGATTTTGGTTGTTCCTCGAATATAGTGTTTGGGTCGATCACTAATGTGTTGTCGGCAGCCGGGGACGGGTCGCTGATGTGGGGAGTGCCGTTTTGCGCCTCGAAGGTACCTTCAGGATTTTCAATCGAATGCTTGAGAGTCGGGGTCTTGGAAGATAGTCAGTAGGTGTCAAGACTCAAGTCTAAGCATCTGAACGGTCACTGGATAGGTTGTTCCTGAGTGGCCGAGCAGCGGGATGGGCCGCTGATGTGGGGAGTGCCGTACTAGCTGCGCCCTGGTTGCGCCTCCAAGGTACTCCCATATTCTCAAATGGTTGAATTCCGGGGTTCTGAGGTATTCCAAAGTCTCTGACGTCGAACCTCCGGGACTCGAGGAGGAGATATGGTTGTTGAATCCCTTGAACTCCTTGACCTCCTTGAACTCCTTGACCAAGAATTTTTGGCGTCAATCGCCAGAGTCTGGTCCAGACCGGAAAGCAGCCCTGATGTGGAGTGTCCTGCTCTTCCTCGTTTAATCTTCATTCAAAGCTTCCCCAAGTTCCAGGGCGTCCAATGCAATTGATGGGCTCGGTGCATAGATGATCGGCATTAAGGAGGATACATAAAACATAAAGGTCAGCGCTTGCTCGTGGACCGATTGTTACGTGCAGGAACAAGAGCGCTAATGTTGTAAGTCCCCTACGGTGCTTCTTGCTTCAATGACTCACGGCCAAATGCAAGGTTCTGCTTCTTCCATGTAAAACATCGGTTCTGCGGTTCAGGCAGAAAACTTGCTTTCAACCACTAAAATCAACTCAACGTTCTGACACTCAAAGCTTTAGACGTTGACTTTCTACCTCGAACGATGAAGTCACGTTGTCTCCCAGCTGAAGACAAGCTCGACGAACGATCAGGGAAGCTTGAACCGTTCTTGAGCCCCAGCAGCCGTCTATTCCAAGTTGGCTGCAGCGCTGATGTTCTTGAAGCGTACCTCAGCTTCTTCGTTACTCCGTTCCTGGGCTGCCAAGACTTCGATGATATCAATTGGCCCTAGCATAGAAGTTCTCTTACTACGTCTGACGGACTCAAGTCGCTCAATCTGGGCCGTCCGTACGCAATCGTGCGGTGGGGCTTCCTCTCTAAGGGTTGACAGTACCGGCGGAGGTCGCCTACTTTCTCTGTAATGACCAGAGAAAGAAACTTGGCGTCGGAGAGCCTTCTCCTTTTAGGGGGAAGTGCGACGTTCTTCCCGACTTGATGACGGGGCTAAGCCACCAGGCAAACGGCTCCCCCCGCTTGTTCTACAACGACCCGCCTCTTGGTCATCAACTTCAATCCGTTTCTCTTTACCTTCAATGTCTTCTTAATTTTCTGCAACTTTTCTGTGGTACATTATCTTGAAAAAGTCATTCACTGTTTGGCAGGCTGCCATGAACCACATGACCCGGACGATGGCCCGGGAGCTCGGCCCGAAGGGCATCCGCGTGAATGCGCTGGCGCCCGGTTACATCATCACGGACATCAACGCCACGCTGCTCAACTCTCCGATGGGCGAACACATGGCGTCGACTATCCCCCTACGGAAGTAGGGAGCTTCAGGCCTTTTCTTTTCTTCCGTGGATGAAAACAGCGCTTTTTGAGCACCTGCCGGTTGTAGATAAAGGGGAAGCTTGAAGTTACGTCAAGTTAGTTCTTGGAAGAAGCGGTGCAGGCTTGACTAGCTTTATCGTCTAACTTCTGGGCAACCGAGAGTTTTTGGGATCCGGCAGCTTGCTTGAAAAGCGCTGTGCTACGAGTTAGAGCTTGTCGTGATAGGCTATTTATCTCTGAGAAGGAGGTTTGAAAAGCGTGCGCTCATTGCTTGAAAGTCGACATCGTTCCTTGTCTTTTTTGGGAGCTACTGTCCACGCAACAAGCGTTTATTCCGAAACCCCTTCTGCTCTGGAACAAGACCTTCGAGACAGCGCTGCAAGAGCTCCAAAGCGCGCCAGCGAACCTGATCTGGAAACCGGATCGTGATGGATGGAATTCCTTTCCTTCATTTCAGTCCTTATACAGCAACTTGGCACACGCGCGAGACACCGAAAGCAGTTTCCACACATCAGGACTTTGCATAGCATGATCCGCTTTCGTATGAGACCTCAACAACCAAGGAGAAAAATAATACTGGGAAAAGCATTTTCCTTGTCAGCGCAAGTGATTTCGACTAGTTTTGAGATGAGTAATACTCTCTTGAATGCTGTCGACAAAGCCCCAAATCGATTTGGCGTTGGCTGATGTATGCGCTTCAGAGGTAACGGCTGACGTATGTGCATCACAAGAATCGGTTGACGTGTGCGCTTCACGAGTTTCTTCGGATTTGGCGACCTTATAGAAGGACCTGCAGGACGCGCTCCTCTTCTAACTTCTGCTGGAAAAAGCCCCAGGTGAAGATGGCTGACGTAAGCGCTCCTCCGCTGAGTTCTGCTCCAAAAAGCCCCGGGTAAAGATGGCTGTCGTAAGCGCTTACCTCATCTTTCAGGTTTGGCGACATCGAGAAGGACGTGCACGGCGCGCTCCTCTGCCGATGTCTGCCGCAAAAGCCCCTGTGAAATTGATCAACGTAAGCGCCCCTCTGCCGAGATCTGCCGGAAAACTCCTAAATAAAGATGGCCGACGTAAGCGCTTACCTCATCTTTAGGTTTGGCGACATCGAGAAGGACCTGCACGGCGCGCTCCTGCTGCTCGCGAGCGACGCGGGCGCGTACATGACGGGCTCCGTCGTGGTCGTGGATGGGGGCGTCGTCAGCGGAACGGTGACGTCAATCGACCCCGACTGGAAGGACCCCATTTGAACAGGCAGCCAAATCGTGGCTTCCACTGGATTGAGCACGTTGCTGCAGGTTCAATTGTCCTCATTAGTGACGACAGAAAGTTGTCGTAACTTATCGGGGAAGGATAGTCGATCATTGAGCCCATTTAGTGGTCATTGTATCATCGTCGTGCATTACGTCCATTCCTTGACAAAAGCCGGCACTCGCTGCTTACGCCAAGAGTAGCACGCTCATGCAGCTGATACAGCTAGCGGTAGATGCAAGCGAGGCTCGCGCGGGCAATAAAGGTCAAACATAGGCACACTTACCCGTTGAAAGCTGTACGAAAAGGGGAATTGAGAGTACCGTCCCGCGACAGTTCCCGATTGTTTGTTTCAGCCTCACACATGCGAAGTAGCCAACGTAGAGCACCACCGTATCTGGGTTTTCTTTGTTTTTGGCTTTCAGATGCGGAAAAGTTGCGATGTATAGGCCCGCGGGGACCGCAATCATGCGTGAGCTGTCACGGTTCAACCAGCTTAAGATAGAGCACTTACCTATAGCGGCCATGCAATATTGTTATTGTTAATGATCAGCAGCTGCATACTAGCTGTTATGGATTTGAAGCATATAGGCATATTGAGTTGCGCCCTTTCAATGTTAGTACATGGTCGAATGGACAATGATATGCCATCCCCTATACATTCAATGAATTTTAGTGAGCCCGCATATATGCGTCGCTTAACACAATCGGGTGCTAGCATCATACATATCAAGGCAAGCTTATGGAACACCGGCGCGCGGCCCTGGTCGATCTTAAACTTAGATTGATATCAATAGAATTTGCCACGGACTCCGGGAATCATTATGCCACTGTAGAGTGGTGCATGGCCGCCTCAGCTAGCATACGTCATGAACGGAGCAACCGACTAATTACGCACCATTTATCACGAAGGGCACGAATCACCGAACGTGTCGGTTTCACGGGCGGCCAGCCAACGCCGTGACGTTAAATCAGCGCCGCGGCCATGGAGATTTGAGGTAAAACAATTAAGGCACGTGCAGATGAAAACGATATTGCATGGTGAACGAAGTCGCAGCGCCGGCAATATGTAGATGAGTAATTTCAGAGCTGAATCGGAAGTCCAGTCGTTGAAGAAGCTTCAACGTATCGACATTCTACGAAAAAGCGGCTTCTCAGCGTCTTCGGCCAGTCACGCATGCCCAACCATCTTCTGTCGTGACCTGTATATCCTCCAAGTACTCTTCATAAGTCCTCACAACCCGGGGGACTTGTTCCTCCAGCACTCCTGATAAACCAACCACCGCTCCTGGTTTAGCGTAGCCTGTAATCGTTTTCGCCAACGCAACCAACGGGTTTAGCAGGATGTTCGCAACGACAATGTCGAAGGCTCCCACGCCCCCCTTCGCTTCGTCCGAGTCTCTGACGACTGAGATGTTTTCCGGGAGCGGGTTGCCGGCGCTTTCTCGATCTGCTAGGTAGACGCGGAGGGTTTCCGGCTTCAGGCCGTTCCGCTCGGCGTTGTGGCGCGACGCGGTGATGGACAGCGGATCGATGTCGACACCGACGGCCTGCGCTGCTCCCAACTGCGTGACGGGATCGCCGGTCCTTACAGCCCTTTGTTGACGGCTTTGTCAAATTTCTTTCGAAATGTAGGTGACGCACCCGCAAAACGAGAGCGTAATCCGAGGCTTGCGTATACATCGGTGTTGGGAAGCAACGCTCAGCCATCGCCGGTGGAAAGGATAATCGTTTTGTGCTAAGTTCTACAATTGGTACAACTTAGGAAGGCCCGAACGGTCAAGGCTTTAACTTGGAGCTGGAAAACCTCTCGAAACGGCTTGAACCAGATTAATGTCGACCAAAAGAACGGCACAATCCGACGCGAACACGTTTGCTATAAAGAAAGAAAAGCACAAAGAAAGCACAAAGAAAAGCGGATGAAGCGACGACTTAACGAATGTCCTTTACGTATCCGAAGCTTAGCATTTGCGATATGCGATATTCGAGATTTCGTTTGCCTTGAAAGAGGTTGCTGGCAAACAAAAGATTCAAGGTAAAAAGTCCTGCTCAACTGCAAAAGTTCGTCCCAAGTGACACGCTCTTTGGAAATGCTCACTTTTCCGGTTTCCGAAAGATCTCAGCAGACCAAACAAAGTTTGGATCACCGACCTCGCTCTTCTGACCGTCAGAATGACAAGGAATCGGCGACAAACTACTGAATTCTGCTCACAAGAATACCAGCCACGCTCAACTAAACGGAAAACTACTCAAGATGACGTCACTCTGCTGCGCTTTCGACGCCGACGTACCTTGACCGCCGCGATCGCCAAGATGCCCGACCCGATCCCGTAGTCCATAACGCGCTCCCCGCCCTTAACCACGCTCCTAATCCACGCCAGGCACAGCCGCGTCGTTGGGTGATCCCCCGTTCCGAAGGCCACCCCGGGCTCGAGAAAGACGTTGATGGCGCCCGGGTCGATAGGCTCACACCAGGACGGTATGACCCACAGCCCCCGGGAGATCTCTACCGGTTGGTAGGAGGCCTGGGGTAAAATTTGGTCTTTTTAGGGATATTGAAGGTTTTAGCATTCTCCAGAAACTAGGGGACTCCAGACTCATAGGGTCTTTCAGGTCTCATACCGGTTGGAATGACCCACAGCCCCCGGGAGACCTTTACCGGTTGATATCGACGCCTGGAGAAGAATTTAAGGGTTTCAGCTGTTTTACGAAGGTTGTAGGATACTTCTAAGCTTCATACGAGGCCCGGAGTAGGGGTTTTCGAGGTTCTAAGGTTGCATAAAAGGGTATTAGGAGTGTTTTCGAGCCTTACATCGGTTGATATGAGACCCTGAAGTAGGGGTTTTACATTTTAGGGGTTTCTCGAAAAAGGGTTTTCGGGTTCTCTCAGGGCTCACACCGGTTGGTATGAGGCCTGGGGTGAAGTCGATGAACTGGTCAGTCGGTTGGCGAGCATCGAAGCTCTAGGGCAAGCAGCCTGGGCAAGTTGGTCTATAGATCGAGCAACTTGTCAACCTGGAGTTGGTTGGTCGGACTTCCAAAGTTGGCGGCGCTGATCATTTTGAATCTCTCAGAAGCTTCTAACCGCGATGTAGTTTCACGTTTTCAGAATGATCACGTCCACAGTAAAGCCCTGACCTGGTTGCAGATGTATGTCTACTACAAGACGTCTGACTTTTTGGCCAGGAACAACCGGCCGGGTTGCAGTAGAAGGGTCTTTAAAAGATCGCAGTACGGTTTACTACTTTCAAATACAATTAGGCGTGCATGACGTCACGCTGACAAGTTCATAGGATTTGGAAGCGGTCCGTCCGCCACCACGGTGGCGTTGACCGTCGAGCTCCCATGTGCAAATCTGAACCGTTCAATCGACCAGTGCCAACAATCATACGGGTCAGATTACGGCGGGATCAAAGATTTGAGGCCAAATCACAAAGACGATTACATACGACTTGGATGTCATTGGAGCACCCCCCTCTTACCTTGATTGTTTCCACCCAGTCCTGGTCTTTCGTCATGCTGACGTCATACTGCGGCGGGCCTGGGAGCCCGAGTATCTCTGCGGCTTCTTCAAGGGCCTCCTTGATGCTGACGTCGGCAGGAAAGAGGGCGGTCACGGCGCTCTGCTCGGGAAAAAAAGCTATTGATTGGGAACAATCAGTGAATTGCATACAGGTCAAAGGCAAGTTTAAGCAGAACCCAGTCTCTGCAACGAGATGGAAACGTAGGGGAGTTTGAGACGAGGGGCAATGGAGGCAAGGAAAAGAACGGAAAGAACAACTAGGAGGATGTTCGCAGTCGTATCCGAAGGTCCACCCAAAACGGAAGAAAAGGACAGAGATTGTTGCCGGCGAAGGTCTCCGATGTTGTCTTTTATACTTGGTATCGAGGATAGAAAGAACTTCCGAGCTCGACTTACTCCCACAATCTAATATCAGAGACTGGGGACCCAAGTAAAGCGTGGACAATAAAACACGAAACCAAGAGGAGCAAAGATCGACGGAAGAGATGACATATCCACCAGATTATCGCAGTGTTGGTCAAGTGGATATGTGCAACCGTAATAGATGCAATTTTGAGGTGAGTCCAAGTGAAGCAACGTTCTCAGAACAGACATTCCTCGAGGACAAGTGATGCCACAAACCACGATTGGATAGAAGAAGCAAAAAGGCTAAAACAGAAAAGCATCGAGTCCGATGTAGAGATTTGACCTAGCGACCGATTGGAAAAGCATGACAAAGAGGCTTACCTTTTCCCATAGCCTCATGTCTGCAGGGGATCCCCAAGGCTCCGGCCCCGAGTAGATCTGCATGAATAGGGGCCGCCGGTCAGCATTTGACAGGTGGCGCTTAACAGCTCACCGCAACCAGAAACTAGTCAAACGAGTTCTTGCACCGTGCTTTGATCAGCCAACCGACCTGTTGTGCTTCGCAAGAAGACGAGGTAGACCAAAATCTGTTTGTTTGATGAGCCAAGGGCTCGGGTGGCGGCTCAACTGTGGTTCACAGCACCTCTGATTGAGGCCGCTGAGTACACAGGTTCCTTGGCAATTCAAAAACGATAAAACGGCAATCGGGGGGCAAGCGCCCCCTGCTTGAGGAACAAAGTCCATGCACGCGGAGAGAATTTCACCGAAGGAGACGGCCACCACGCTTATCCTGAATATTTTTTGAATATTTTTGAATATTGTTTGAAACAAGCTGCGCTTGTCAATTTGAGTGCAAAGGGTACGTGTAGCAAGGTCCGGAGGTGGACATTAAGCTGGTTACTGGTGGCCAACCATAAGAGCCAGTTTCTTCGCAGGAGTCTGCGGCTTTCAAGCTGGTGCACATCTCGAATCTATGTCATCTCTCGGCACCAATTCCTAACAGGCTAAAGGGATGAAGGAAACGGTTTCCGAAGCTGACCATGACAGATGAAAAGTGCATTACTTGCCTAGACACGGTTGTCAGCCTGGCTCGCAAACATAGCATACCAAAAAAAATGGTCACTCTGAACAGGAACCACACCTCGTCACTTTACTTTCACCTCACTACTTGATGACGGCTAATGTGCCTCTGCCTGATGTCAACCAAATAGCTTTAAAGCAATCATTATTACAACTAGGTGCGGCTGACTCACCTCCTCCTCCCCTTCCTGGTCCAGGTTGGCATCTTCAATGCTGCAGGAAGCAGCCCCGCAGCCAAGCAGGGCATCGCAGAGCGCGTCCTGGATGGACATACAAAAAGGAGGATGTCAAATTGCACGGTGAGATGGATGAAAGACCATAGCTTCAATCAAGCTATCTATCAATCACATGTGATGAAACAAAGGGCCAGAAAAGGAAAAGTGGGGGGCTTGAGGCAACGGCAGCCCCCCCGTTTTAAAGGTTCAAAGGGGGCTGGAAGTATGTACTGGGCACAATTCATGCAGATTAGAGTAATCTGAGGCGAGTATAATAGCCACCGCTAACCAAGCCTTGCCATCCTGCACAGCATCTGTTTCCTTTCTAAAGCTTACGTTGAGGGCAGAAGACCTTTAAATGGAGACTTTGAATTTATCCACTTTGACAAACTGTGCAGATGAGCAAGCGAATTGGACTCAAGCTGACTGGCATTAAGATGGTGTCAGAGTCTGGGTAGAGGTGAACCTGAAACTGCAACCTGCATCTTGCCCCCCCCAGCGACGGCAATGCAGCGTAACCTGGTCGTTCATTGAAAAGAGGATCAAAGCTGTTCAAAGGAGAGACCTAAAGAGGCTACCTACATTGGAAGTTTTAGTTTTGATAAGAGGGTGGTGCAGGTTCAGCAAGAATGTTGGTGATAGCGCAACTTACAGCATTGTCTCCTTCGACGTAGATCTTTGCAGCTTGCATTGATCCTCCCAGCGCCTCTGCATCATACTGACTGTCATGACTTTTGCTGCTCGCATCATACAACGGAGCTTCTCTCTTGCTTGACCCGTTTCCAGAAGCTGTGCAGGGTGTGTCTGTCTGTATAGAGGCAAGGCGAAAAACATGACCCGTCTGAAATTGACGATTGTGAAGGAGTGTTCCGGAAAAGCCGATTGCTGTCCAGCTCGGAAAGAAGCTCTTCCAAGTGTGCAGTGGTGGAATATTTACTGCCAACTTCTTCAGCATATTTCTGGGTGGGGAAATGCAGGCTGCATTCCACCTGCATAACTTCTTCACAACACTGACAGTATCCATTGCTCTGAAAAGACTGTTCACCAGCATGTCAAGCGCAATGCCCGGTACCTTAGTACACTCAAAGTTACAGCATTCCGCATGGACCGGAGTGGCTGCTTCAAGCAGTCACGTGTGCTAATGACACTTTTAAAGACACCACTTGAACGGCCTTGGAAGTCATAGACTTAGTCTAGTGCCTACCTGCCCGTGCTATAGCTGCAATGGACCTGCAAACCGCCATTTGCATTGCCATGGCCTTGAGGAAAGTCTTCACAAAGCTTCAAGTTCAGGCTTGAAGGCGAGCTAGGTGTGTGGTTCCGTTTCAATGAAGTTTCTGCGCTAGGCCGTCGGAATGCAGCGCGGCCGCACACTGCATTAACCGGCCGGCCGCGCGGCCGCGCTACAACTTTATAATCACAGCCAGGGTTTGACGGTTCACGCTCGCGCACGAACAGTTGTACAGTTCAGGTCCTGAATAATGACACCGTGGAGTTGTTCAGGGGGGGCAAATTGTGATTCTGCCGCTAACAGGGGGCCACCTGCAAAAACGGATCGAGGGAGGAAGAAAAAGCAGATGCTGCCCTCATCCCCATCCAGTTGAACAAAGTAGCCGGGTCCAATCAGATTTTGCCACCTGAGCATGCAAAACCGACGACGCAACAGACTTTCTAACCGTTTTGCATGTCCAATTGTACTTGCGATAGGGTAGGTACTCGCGAGCCTGTGCGCAACCGTCGTTGACTCCAATCTTCATTCCGGTACCTGCGTTGCAGTGTACAAGACAAGAGGTAGGTACCGGCTCTCTGACAAAAGTTCGTTGTAGGTACCTGGTCCGTACGTGGGAACTTTCAAGGTACGGTACCTCGGATACCCTACTAAAAGTAAAAGTCTCATGTAACTAGGTAGGTAACTACCGGCCGGCGGTACCTAGAAGGGTGCATACCGCCAAAACTCAAGGCAGGGAGGTACAGACCAGGATGGAGAATAAGGTACGTACCCAATACTAGCTTAAGTATATAGGTACCAATTTCGCGATGGGACTCATGTACCGTAATGTACAAGGTACTAGGTACCTACTACTAGCCTTAGGTATCTAGATCAACACTCGATCAGCTCCTCAGGACCTCAAGTGCAAACGTACTGGAGCACCATTCCTAGGGTTCCCGCCTTCTTGTTGGATGATCAGCACATTCCTACTTGCCCAGGCTGAAGCTGCATCACATCGCCTAGCCTGCCCTTGGCATGGGTATGGAAAGAAGTATCTGTGTGCAGCAAAAGCGCTCGCGTGGAACTGCTCCTTCCGCTGCACGATGAGGTGGTGGGTCGTCCATGAGAAATCCATGCTGCAAGTGGCAAAAGCATGAGCTCCTCACGCTCTTTGCCACCTTCTCTTCGAGGAAAGAAGGGCAATTCTTATGGCACATAGCTCTGCAGCTGTTGCAAGGGCCTAGATGCAGGGAGTAAATGCACTACTATCCTGATTGACAAGCGAAGAGCTTCAGGCCAAGCAATAATGTAGCATTCGTGGGAATTGGACTGACCGCTCCTACCGAGTTCAACAATTGGACCAAACACCGGACTTTCTTCCCAGTTGTACAGCTGAGGGCAGCTGGTAAACTGCCACTGCTTAACTTAAGTCTTAAGGGCAGCTTAGGCAGGATGGGAGTAGGAGCTGGAGGGCGTGGCTGCTGAGCACTGGGGCAGGGCGCAGGTGCCAGCATGGACCCACGCTACCAGATGATGAGGGGTCAGGGTGCGGGGCACCCGCTTCTGGAGTTTCCTAGTGACGATGAGCTCAGGGCAGGGACGTCCTCAGAAGGGATGATGCCAGAGGTGGCACACAACCTTGTTGACCCTTCGCTTTACATGGTGAGCCTGGTGGCACATTCTAAAGTTGTCATGTTTTTCTCCTCTGAGTATTTTGTTGATCAAGTGGTCAAAGGCTTCGCTTTTCGCCTTTCCCTTTTGTGCGCTGCATGTTGACTAGTGCTACCAGGCTCCATCAGGCAGCTTAAGCATGTGCATAGAAGGCTTCGAGGAAATGAAAGCGTCAAAATGGTAAGCTGCGGTAAAGTTGGTGGATTAAGTTTTTGCTAGTTTGCTAGAGGTTGCTTTTTAATCTTCGACGCACTCCTAGTTGTGGCAAGGGCCTTGTAATCTCCCATGCAATCTGTCAGCATGCCTCTCTAGCATAGTAATCCGACCTTACAATGTATTTCGCTGTGTACCACAACGAGTCCGAAGCATACCACCTCAAAATTTTGGAGGGGTATGCCAAATAAGCATGCACAGGCAGACTTCAATAAGGGTTTAAAAGGCTCCTTGGCCAAATGGCACTTGCAGACTATGACAGATACTACAAAAACCCTCCGTCTTTGCAACGTATCAGAATGACACGGCCAGACTCAAGGTCTTGGAAACTTGAGAGGTTTTGCACCTGGCCTTGACGAAAATGATGTATTCAGGACCTTGCAGAGGCTAGAAGTCACACGTAACCAGCTGCTTCACTGAGGTGCAAGGGCAGAATTGCAGTGGAAGCTTCTTACTTTTGCTTCCTCTTCACTAATTCGCCCGCACATCATATAGTCTTTCGCGCTCTAGAAGCCTGCTTAGACAGAAGCTTCGTCATGCACGGGGTGAGCCATGGAGTAGGATGAGAAGGAAAGAAACAGCTGCGCTTCCGCCAGACCATTCGAAGCGGCGCTAGTCAAGCCATGCTAATATCAAACATCGCCTGTTGCAGCCCTAACAAAGCCCTGGTTTAAGAGAGCCTACTTGCCCGTGACCCCAGGGATCCCCAACTAGGATGCAAAATCTACATTCACTGGGGCCCTGCTAAAAAGCAAAGCTTCTTGACATACAGGAGGCGGCTCAGCTGCACGACCCCACATTCCACCCGCAAGCCATGTTCAACCCCGAGAGCCCCTTCCACCAACTTCTCCCTAACAGTCCCGCTCCTGGAAATGGCGCCCTCCTCCCTGCCGAGTACTTTGACTCTCTGCTGAACGCCTATGGCGTTGGGTTGGACCCCCGCCAAATGGCCGAGGCACGCTTGCAGTCCCAAGGGGGGCGGCAGTCAAACCCAGCCGCATTTCTTCATGACGGGGGACTTGACGTGCTGGCTGCGGAGACCCCCCGGGACGGAAACACCTTCCCAGGGGGTTTCGGCCACCCGGGTAGCAACTCCCCAGTTGACATGTACGGCGCACTCCAGCGCTTTGCTGCCAGCTTTGCCACCTCCCAGGGGGGTTTGGGGGCCCCTGTGGCAACCCCCCGTCAACTGGCCGCGGAGGAGCCGTCCCCATACCCCCCCCCAAGGGGGATGGAAATGAACTACACTACTCTCGGCCACTTTCCCGAGGCCGACGGGGCATCACACGGCAGGACAAGCCAGCCCCCGGAGCAGGGGTTCAATTCGCGGGTGCTGACGTCAGCGGCGTGCATCACTGCGATGATCCAGAAGCTGCGGAGTCCTGAGGACGGTGTGAGAAGGGAGGCGATGCAAGCAATTAGAATGTGGGCCGGGTCTAGTCTGCTGCACCAGAGAGCCGTGGCGGCAGCGGGGGCTATCCCCCCTTTGGTGGACGTGCTGAGGACTCCGAGCAGCACAGTTGTAAGTGTCTCACTGTGCAGCAAACGCACTGCTTCGGCTTGCGCTTTGAGTTTTTCAGGTTTTTTGGTGGAAAGGACTTGATGAGAACGTATTTCAACAATTGAACGTTTTGTTGTTTGACTGAGGCTTAGAGTAACTTTCTTTCTTCTTCCCTGAGCTTATGAATAGCGTTTCTGGAGACCTTCAGGGACTCCACTGTTTATCAAGTGTCAAAGGGTGGGGATTAGAATGCTTGCAGAAATGGAAAGCATATTCTAGCAATGCGGACTAGTCCTCTATACCTCACCGCACGCACACATTGACTCGAGTCACAAGCCTTGTCATGGGTGTCGTGCTGCCAGGGTTTTGTCTTTCTCACCGCATAGGCAGTCAGAAGCTGGTCTAGGCTGATACCAGGGCACAGACCTCAATCAGCCTCCCCTGCTTTCAATGGCATACGTATACCCAGTCCCGATGAAGTTCCATACGTTTGGAGGCCGTTTTTCAGTCCTCACTTTATTTCGCTAACCCCATTCCCTCCACTCCATTCCCTCCACAGGTCTGGGTGGAAGCCGCTCAGACTCTAGCCAGCTTAGCAATCAACAACGAGGAAAATAAAGCGTCGATTGGGTTAGCGGGCGCAATCCCCCCCTTGGTTAATCTGCTGGGGCTTCCAAGCCGGGAAGCAAGGGAGGCGGCGGTCGGAGGTCTCAGCTGCTTGGCTCGAAATGAGCATAACAAGCAGGCAATCATGGACGCAGGTGAGTGGCCAGCTTTAAACGTGTGGACTTTGACGGATGCTGAGCAGGCGCCAGATCTTGCTCTCCAGAGAAGGACTGGAAGCTGATTGAGGGTATACATGTGAAGGGGAGTCCGCTTACTCAGGGATGGTGCTGGCATTGCAAGGATTGAAGAATGGCCTGGAGTGGGCTCAAAGAGCGCTTTGTCGTGTGATGCCGAGATATACAGCTTTTCCCAGGGGCTAAATGAAATAGCACGCGCAGATTGCGGTGTTGTGGATTCCAGTTGTGCTAATGGGGGAATTATGGGAGAATGTTTTAGAACACCGTACTTAGCCGTATCTGAAAGAGAGTCATATGCTTATGTTTGAAGAAAGAGAGCCAAGAAAAAGGCAGAGAATGAGGAAGGATTGTCCTTCAGGAGGATTTCAAGCAAGATGGAGGGAACTGGCACAGTCATGGCGTCAGAAAAGCGCCATTCGAGAGATATGTCGAGCTTTTCATGGGTCAGGGCTTATCAAGATACGGAGATTCATGCTGATGGAGCGCTCTTTATTAACGCGTCTTGTAGGTGCTGTCACGGGGCTGGTACGCATGCTGACCGACGGGGACAACAACAGCGAGTTTGGGCGCGAGGCAGCGGCAAACGTGCTCGCCAAGCTTGCGGTAAGGGGGCCAGAGACCGTCGCCTAGTTTATCCCGGAATTCTGTGTCCTAGTGACTAGCAATAGGCTTCCTTCAGGTTTGACTTCTCATCTCATGTTATGCATCGTTGCACGTGACCCGCAGAGCAATTATATAGCCCAATTTAAAAACATTCAAGCAATCTTTGTGACATTGGATTGACCAGCCACTTCGATCAAAGCAGCTAGACTTTTGGCTGCCCATTGCTATTCGTTTGATGTGGGCGCATGTTCTGGGCAGTTGCTGCCAATCTGAGGCCAGATTTGTAAGCAACAGAACGAATTTGCGTGTGTGGATTGCGTATGAAGGTAGAGGCGATGTTGGTGGCAGAAGAAGTAAGAGTTATTTGAAGTTTGATTGGTACTTATGAGTGGGCTTGAGCGGTCCTGATCTGCGGAAACGCGTGAAAAGAAGCCGCTGATCCAGACCAATCTTGAGGCGCCTTTCTTTTCTTCTCTTTTCTCATCGGAAAGTGCTCGAATCCAAAATGAAGCTTGATATTAAGCCTGCTGGTCGTAACCCCGCAGGTGGAGAACGACGCAAATAAAAAGGCGATTGGGCAGTACGGTGCAATTCCGTTCCTGATCCGGATGGTGGAGCACGGGTCCGCCAAAGAACAGGAAGTGGCGGCCGGGGCGCTTGCTAATCTTATTCAGGTGAGACCCAAATCAAGCAATCCAGACTGGGATGTTCGGCACTAATCCAATGTGTGCCGCAAACTTAGGAATGACACTGCCATACTATCTGGCTATTTCACTCTCTGGAAGAGCGGGCTTTTCTTCATTACAGTCAGTTCTTCTGGCACTTTCAATTGATAGGGAGAGCGGCTACTTTACGGGTCCACGACAGACACACAACATTTCCGAAGCGCCCGACCGAAAGCTACTCTCGAACTTAAACCTCAAGGTTTCACATGCTGATCTCGAAATAACTTCTGGTTTGCAGGACCCGCAAAACGCGCTGGAGCTCGTCGGCGCGGGGGGCGTGGAGGCGCTGTCCGAACTTTTGGACTGTCCGTGGGAGGGGGCGCGCCAGGCGGCGTCGGCTGCGCTGACGCAAGTCAGCGTGCACGAGGCCAAGTGGAACGAGGAGTTCAACCTGCTGCAAGCACAGGGGCTCGAGGTGGGAGCTGGAGCTGCCACGTTGACGTGTGGGCTTGAGGGTTCAGGCTTGTTTCGCTGTCGATTTGGTTGGAAGGGGGGCTCGAAGAATGTTCACCGGAACGAGAATGTGGGTCTGCTGCAAACAGTGGGGCTGGGAGATGATCTCCGCATCACAGTAGGCTGAAATCTAAGTTACCTGTTTGAGAGGTAATTCCTGTCAAGGGGTCTGACGCTTTCTCGTGTTATATTCTCGTCAATATTAATTTCGAACTTGCATGCCGTTCCCTCCGACTTCCTCATGGGAAGCCCCACAGCCCGCCTTGATCACATAGCGAAAGCGTTTGTCGAGTTCTTTGATGGATTGCGGGACAAGAAATTCCGGTCTGGTCATTCTGAACCCCGCCCTTGACCCGGAATTGTCAATTCTGCAGGACGGCCTGCAACCAGTCGACGACGAGGACGAGCTCACTATGGACGAGGTGCGTGCCGCTGAGGAAATCCTCCGCAACGCCATCAACGATAACGGGGGGGAGGAAGACGAGGACGATGTGCCCCCCGAAGCGGAACCCCCGGCAACCGATGAGGTAGGAGGGGAGCGGGGAGAAGAGGAGGACCAGCCGGATGACGTCAGCATCAGCGAGGCGGAGAGCTCGGACGAGGACGTGCCGCTGGTGAAGAGACGGGGCGCGGTGACGTCACAGGCGGCGTCGGCGAGAGCGGCTGACGTCGTCGAGGGCGTCGCTGACATCACCAAGGAGGGGAGAGAGCCCCCGGAGGACGTTCCGCTGGCGATGCGGTTCCGGGTTCCGTTGGAGGAGGCGGGGGCGGCGCGGCGGCGGAAGGGGGCCAAGAAGCAGGGGCGGAAACAGGGGAGGAAGAAGCGAGTGGTGAAAATTCCGGAAAAGGGGGGGGCAGACTTGGTTGCGGAGGAGGGACAGGAAAAGATTGCCGCGGAGGGGGGGGGAGAAGCGAAGCTTGCAGAGGGGGGGGCGGAAGCGAGCGTTGCAGAGGCGAGCGAGCAGTCGTCAGAGGAGGACGTTCCGCTGGGCATGCGGAAACGAGTGATGTCGGAGGAAGATCTGCCGATCTTGGCAAAGGGGCTGAAGCCTCTAGTTCTGGACGAGAGCATTCCGCTGGGGGTGGGGGTGGCGCGCGCGCCGAAGCGGCGGAAGCTGGAGCTGCGGCGCGCGGGGTCGGGTGACGTCAGCAGCCGGGACGGGTCCGAGAGCGAGCGCCCGAAGCGGAAGCGCCGCCGGGCTTCAGTGGCAGAGAGGTGGGGCTCGGGCTTTTGTTCTTCTCTCCTTTTTAAAGAATGCTTTTGATCTGTAGCATCTTCTCAAAAAGAGCTGACTGGCGCGTGCCGAACCAATCGAGATTGAGGCGTTGAAAGAGGAAGCAAACGGACGGCCTGTTCGTGGTGAGGGCGATAGGCAAGCCCTTGGACCGCATGCCGCTTAGACTTGCTCCGTCTGGAACAAGACCTTGCAGATCAACAAAGCCCGTAAGCTATTTCTGGATAGCCCAGCCGTTAAAGCGCCTACGTTTTGTGCCAGGCAATATAACTGCTTCGTGCCAGTACTTCGGTCGCGAAGCCTCACAAACTCTACGTGATTGCTGACGAATGTTCTCGATATCTTACTCTAGGTGGGACTCGGAGGAGCGCGCTTCGGCGGACCCGTTGGACGAGGAACCGGCGATCCGGGCGGCTTTACACTCCCCTGTGCAAGCGACGATGACGGAACTCCTCGGAATGGAGGACCCCCCAGAGGGAGCGTTTGAGGATGCGCTAGCCGGGGAAGGCCACGTGACCGAGAAGGGCAGCTTAGACGAGGCGCTGTTACCCCCCGGAAAGGAAGAAGAGGGATCAGATCCGGCAGGGTGGGATGTCGTTCGGTCGCCGGACGACGAGACGGAGAGCCCCGAAAAGGAGAAGAAGCGGCGACGGGGGTCCAAGAAACGCGCGAAGCCGATGCAGCCGCCGCTCAAAGTGTCGGCGGACGTCCTCCGGAAGCCGGAACTCCAGCTTTCCGTTCCGGAGTTCTCGGCGGAAAAGGCGGACGCGGAGACGGCGCAGTGCGACTGCATCGGCGCGACGGCGGGGGTACACAACGGGGACTGCCAGTTCAGGAGCCCGGTCGGCAAGCCCCCCCAGAGCAGCGCGGCGCACATCCTCGCGTCCGGGGGGAGTGCGGCGAAACCAGAACCGGCAAAACCGAAGGCCCCCTTGGCGGCAGGACTCAGCCGCTTGATCGTCGCCTTCGCAGCCGGGTTGAACTCGACCCCGCCCCCCCTCCCCCCAATGCAGCCGCTCCGAGAGCCCGGTCGAAAGCCCCGGGGGCGGACCGGAAAGCTCCGGCCGGCGGCCGCTGTCCCCGACCCCCCCCCTGCGGTGCCCGGGCTCCAGCAAGGCCTCCCCGCGCTCATGGGAATGCTCCGGAGCACCAGCTTGGAGTCCCAAGAGTTTGGCTGCCTGACGGTCGCACTGTTAGCGGTTCAGGGGGGGGACGCCGCCAAGCGGAACATGGTCGAGGGGGGTATCGTGCCCGCCCTGATTTCGATCGTGCGCAGCGCGGAAGCCGGCCGCGTCTCGCAGCTTCTACGAGGGGGGGGCTTCTTCCCGCTTGCTGGGAAGGGGGGCCAGGTTCCGGGCCAGTCCGCTCTGGGCGGGGGGACGACCGTCAACGGAAGGCCGCGGAAGCGGCGGAACGCCTTCACGAACGTTGGCGCGGACGGCTTCTCTCGCCCCCCACCGGAAGGCACCTCCCCCGCCCCCGCCCGGTTACTCGGCCCTGATCTACTCCCCCCGTCCACAAATTACCAGGGCGGGGGAGGCTTCCAACCTGCTACGGGGGGGTTCTCAGGCCCGGACCTCCTTCCCCCCGGGACGCACACCTTGCAGCAGAGCCTTGGACCGCCCAGCGCGGCAGCCGCGGCGGCGCGCCACATCGGCCTGGATCTGCTTCCCCCCGGAACGAGTGTGACGCAGTTTGGGCCGTCGGGAGTGCGCTACCGCCTGCCGGTGAACGCCATGCTGAACCGAAACGGGGGGGTGAAAAAGGCGGAGCATCACCCCGGGGGCCCGAACGTGCCCGGTAGAATGCTTCCGGGGGGTAAGCTTTTGAAGCCGAAAGCGGAGCCGACGGTTCGGGAGGCGGGGGTGGGAACCGGGGCGTTCTTTCCGGTGGCCGGGGATGCGAAGAGACGGGTCGGGCCTATTCACCTAGTAAGCAAGCAACCGGTACAAAGCCCCGGCTGGACTTCCAGCCAACCGCAGTCTATCGAGGGCACAGCGCAAGCAAGGGGAAGTGCCCCGAGCGAGAACGGCGTTGGGCCTAACGGAACGCAAAGTGAGCGTTCGCGCTCCCCCGAGCAGTCGCAGATTGTTCAAAGCAACCCGGGTTCTTTGACAGGGGCAGATCCGGCGCCTCTGACAGAGAGTGCGGAAGTAAAGGTGCCAAACGCGGCCGAAGTTGTAGATTTGACGAAGGAAGCGGCGGCTACAGATGAAAACTCGGAAAAGAAGACAGGATCTGATCAAATCGTTGCGGCGGCAACGATCGAGGCGTCGCCCGGAGTGGAAAACGGGGAAGTGTCTGAACAGCCCACAGCAGCTTTAAGAGACGGTGCAGGGGTCGGTGAACAGCCGACAGAAGGTACTAACGTTAGATCGACGGTAGCACAGAGCACTGCTTCGGACAGCGGAGTCTCTCAGCCTGCAAATGCCCCCGTTGCACGGCCCGAGGTCGCAAGTGAGCTTCTACCTGAAGCGTCGACTGCCGGAGAAAAAGCGGAACTAGAACGGAGCGCGGTGAAGACGGACATAGAGACAGATGGTTCGGAGAGCTCACAACAGCAGACAGCAGAGAAGCCGACAAACGGAATAAGCGCACAAGGAAGTGCGCAAACAACGGGGACTGTGGCTGATGCGGAAGGACTGACAGCACAGCAAGCGACGGTCGAAGGGACAGTCCCCGAAACGGAAGTCGAGACGGTACCGGAATCTGCAAAGGAGAGCGCAATTCCCGAGCGAGAAGGTGATGTTGAGGAAAACATAGCGGCCTCCAATGAAGCCTCGACGGGCCCCGATGACGTCACAGCCCCTCAGAATGACGTCGAGTTGAGAGAACCTTCAAACCCTTCCGAAGAGATCACAGCGGCCGTTGATCCCGCCCCGGCCGCAACAGATCAAATCACGGCAGCCGTCGATCAGGCTGCGGCGCCAGACCCTGCAGGGGAGTCCCCGTCAGCCCCCCCGTCAAACCTTCCGTCGAATACCGCCGTCTCGAGCGGCTCCGATGCCGTCCCGGCATGGGACGGCTCTCAGTCTTTGATCCCCCGGGCGCTTTCCACCAACGCCTTTTCTCAGGCTCTTGCCAGCGCGTCAGAGTCCCCTCCGGAGTCCCCTGACAAAGCAAACCCGAGACACCTGGCGGCGCTCGCACGCATCGCGGCCGCCAATGCGCTCTCGACCCTGTGCGTCGGCAACCCCGCGGGAAAGGACGCCGCGGTCCGCGCCGGGGGGGTCCAGGCGCTCGCAATCATGGCCGCGCTCGCGCAGGGCGAGGCGTCGTCCAATACGCCGTCCGAAAAGCCGCGCGAGTCGTCCGAAACGCGCGCGGAAGCGTCCGAATTGCTCGCGGAGGCGTCCGATCTCAGCGAGAAGGCGTCCGAACGCGCGATAGAGGCGTCCGAAAGGCGACCGAACGCGTCCGGAAGACGGCCTGAGTCGAAGCGCGCGCGAGGCGCGCGAAACGCGGAGCGCGCGGCCGCCCTTAGTGCGCTCACGAGCTTAGCGCTGTCGGACGGCCCGCAGAAGCAAAGGATGTCGTCTGCGACGGCGGTGCCGTGGGTGGCAAAAATGATGGAGGGAGCGGACGCTCTAGAGGTTGCCGCGGGGGCAGGAGGACTGCAGGTAAGCCTTCCGAGTTTCTCGGCGATGCTCCTTTCTGCAAATTGTCGTCTCTATCCACAGGCGTCTGGGCATTGTCCAGATTGTTGCTGACAAGAAAAAGACCCGTTGGGTCAGGGCCTCAACAAAATGTCCTTCTGTGTTGGCATGTCTTGTCACTTGTCTTGCAAATTAGAATCTTATATGCAAGTACTAGCTAGTGCCTTGACGTCAAGAGCAAACTTCGAATATGTAGCTTCTTCAACGAGATTCATCGCAGAGCCTTTATTCTCTGAACGCGTGAGGTGTTGTTAGCATCTTTGTCGTCTCGTTAAAGCTCTTCTGCTCTGCTTCTTTGACTTCACTTGCTGTTCATTTCCCAGCACTTCTTTACCTCCACTGAAATCCATCCTTCGTTTATACTTCTTGACGGCTGAACTTGCAAAGGAGCAAAGAAGACATGTAGAACCGCTGTTCGGCTTTGCCTTTAAATTAATGCTCCCCATCTTGCAGTCGATTGCGGCGAGCCTAGACTTGGAAAAGATGGACGAACCCGCCGTTTCCCAAGACGCCAAAGTTTCCGCTGCCAAGCACATGCCTCTCGAGCTCGCCTTCACTCTGATGGAGCTCATCGCGGGGGGGGCTCCCGAGACCAGAAGCGCCGCGATCCAAGCGCTCGCGTCGTTCCTGATCGTGCGCCAAGATTTGGCCTCCAAGCTGGGAGGGTTTGGGGGTTTGGGCGGCGCGTACTTCGGCCTCCACGAGCAGCTGCGCCAGGCGGGGCGCGCGGGCGCGCGCGCGCTCCTGTCGCTCCTGGGCACGCGCTCGGACGCCGCGGTGCGCGAGTCGGCGGTGGCGGCGGTCGCGGCCGCGGCCGCGGGCTCGCGGCGACTGTTGGGCTGGTTGGAGGAGGAAGGGGTCGCCCCTGCACTGATGGGCATTTTCCGAAGCGGGGGCGATGAGTTGATGCGCGCGCTGGTTCTTGCGGCGGCGTTCAATGTGGGCGCGCTTAAGGGGAAGCTTACCGGGATGGGCGGGGAGGACGTCCGGTCTCTGGTGGAGTACTTGAAGACGGAACCGGAAACTCCGGAAGGGGTTCCTGAGGACGTTGTGGCTAAAGTGGAGGTTGGGGCGGGGACGATTGGAGGGGAGTCCAAGGAGAAAGAGCAGGAGCGAAAGGAAGGAGCTGGGGTGAAACTAGAGATGGTGGAAAGTGGCTTGGGGCAAGAGGCGGAAAAGCTGGTTGCTTCAACCGAGTCAAGGAATGACGCAAAAGCGGATGGGGTCGATTCAGCAGAAGCGGTTGGTGTTTCGGATGGTGAGCGGACTCGGGGGGTGAGAAACGCAGACGGGGCGGGCGTAGAAGAAGGGGAGAAGGGGAATACTTTGAACGGGCCGGAACCGACGGAGAAAAGTGGGGACGCAAGCGTCGAAGCTACGGTCTCAAGCGTGGAGCAAAGAAGCGAGGTTATGGACAAGGGGAAAAACGCGCCTCCAGAAACGGTCGCAGCAGAATCGATAGAGTGCGCTGCAACGGATCCGGGGGCGGCTTCTCCCGCCAGTCCCGAAGTTTCAGAAGCGAAAGGCGAGGAGGCGTCAGTCGTGGAGCCGCCACGTGTCGCCTCTCCAGAATCGAAGGGCGAGGAGGCGTCAGTGGTGGAGCCGACACATGTCGCCCCTACACTGAAGACATGTAAAGTCGAACCAGAAGATGGAGCGCTCAACCCGCCGGAGAGTGCGACGCCTTCTGATCCGACTTCACCACAAGCGGAGAAGCATTCTGATCTTGTTGCGGAAAGCGGCCACGTGGCAAGCCCTTCGTCCGACGCCGCGGGACCTTCCGATGAAACACCTAGGGAACCGCCAGTAGCCGCAGAAATGACGTCAGCAACGGGAGCAACGAGTGCCTCTGCCGAACAGCCAGCCGCATTGGAACTGGATGAAGCGAAGGAGGTCGTTCCTGCAACGAATGACGTCACCGCCGTGGTGGCTCGTCCGGAAGCACACGTGGCAGCCGTCGAGGAGGCCCACGTGGCTCCGAGCCCCAAACCCCCAAACCCCGCGACGCCCTACGACCACGCGGCCGGCGTACTCGTTTACGCGGCGCTCGGGTGCGACGCCAACGGGCACCTTGCGCTGGTCGGCGCCGGGGGGATCCCCCTCATCATGAAAGTCCTAACCAAAAAGGGTTGGGGTTTGGATGGGCCCGCTAGAGAGGCGGCCGCCGCGGCGCTAATGATGCTGGCGGCGTCGAGCGAACAGACTTCCCGGGAAATCCGGGCGGCCGGGGGAGTGGCGCCGTTGGTGAAGATTTTGGGAGCGCAGGCGGGGGGGAGCGTAACCGGGGGAAAGGTGTGGGGGGAGAAAGAGGCGGCTGCGGCGGCGTTGGTTGTGCTCGCTGGTGAGAACTGTTCCACTGCAGCTGCACTAGTTTACTACTGGATTTTACTCTGGCAACCCTTGTTTGATCTTAGACGCGTGTGACTAAGATAGGCGCCCGGGAGACGGGTGGGGTAGGTAGGGTAGATTGGGGTGCGGAGCATGTGATGATCTTGGTTGGGGTTTTGAGTCTGTGTGCCTGGGTAGCTTGAATGTTAATCCACTTAGGTATCACGAGAGTTGCCAGTATCTGTTTTTCATTGTTCTACTGCGCGTTCAGCTTCTGTACTGTTGTGTACTGCTGTAGCCAGTGGTGTGCCAGGCGTTCCAGGCCATTGTTGCTGGTGCTGCTAACTTGATGAAGTCCAAGAAAGCAGAGCATAGTACACTGAACTCTTTCCGCCACGGGCGCAAAACACGCTTCTCTTTGTTGGCTTGCTTGCTTGTCTACTTTCCCCATGGCGCTCCGATCGTACCTGTCACGTCGTTAGCATGGAGCAATCTTGAAGCGAACACGCAGACCCTCTCTTGTTTTGGCGGTGTTCGTGAAACCAATCAACTTTTTCTATGGATTGCTTTCTTGGCCGAAGCATTACACCTTACTCTGCTTTTGAAACCTTCCTTCCATTGGCAGGTGGACGATTTGCTGTGGGTTGTGCTATCGAGGAAACTTCTCAAAACGACGTTTCTCGAGATCCTCGTACACTGCCAAAATCAAAATATTCGGTCAATCTTACAAAGTTAGAGTCTCAAATTCTAGCTCCTTGAATTGACATTTTGTCGCAACAGGTCGCTGTGAAGAGGGACGCAACGCCTTGATACGCGCCGGGGGCGTCCGCGCCCTTGTCGCCGCCCTTCAGTGCTCGGAACCCGGGCCAATTCCCCCGGGCACCCCGACGCCTTCCGTTCCGCCCGGGGGGCTCTCCCCGACCGGAACCGCGGCCATCGCCCAGCTTTTGAGCACCCTGGCAGTGCACCACCCCGAGGCCCGATCGCAGATGGCGTCACTGGGCGTCCTCCGACCGCTCGTCGACGTTCTGATGGGCGGGAGACGATCCCCCGGAGGGAAAGAAGAGGAGCCCGGAACGATCGCCCAGGAGGCCGCTGCGGCCGCGCTCGCGAACATCGTCCAGGGGGATCCCGCGAGCGCGCGCGAGGTCGTGGGCGCCGGCGCGATCGCGCCGCTCGTGCGCGCGCTCGAGGGCGGCGGCGAAGCCGCCGCGCGAGCGCGCGGTGCGGCTGCGGCCGCGCCAAACCCGGGCGGGCAGCTCGCGGCGATGACGGCGCTCGCGAGCCTGGTTCGCACG